GTGTGTATATGTCCATGAATGACTGAAAAATTGTGCTGAACACTGGAATCTGACACAACATTGTAAAATGATTATAAATCAATAAAAAATGTTAAAAAAAACTGACAAACTTTTAGATATACTGACAAAGAAAAAAAGATGACTCAAATTACTACAATCAGAAGTAAAAGAGGGGACATCACTACTGACCTTAAAGAAATAACAGTGATTAAAAGGGAATCCTATGAATAATTTTATGCCAACATATTAGGCAACTTACATGAAACGGACAAATTCCTAGAAAGACAGAAACTACCAAAACAGAACCAAAGAGAAATAGAAAATCTGAATAGACCTATGACAAGAGACTGAATTAGAAATCAAAAAAAGAAGCCTAAGACCAAATAATTTCACTGATGAAAATTAAAGAAGAATTAAAATGAATTTCTCACAAACTCTCCCCAAAAAATAGAAGAGGGAATACTTTCCAACTTACTCTATGAGGCCAATATTATTCTAATACCAAAACCAGACAAAGACATAAAAAGAAAAGACAACTGCACATCAACAGCCCTTATGAATACAGAAAAAAACTTTCTAACACAACACTTGCAAATTGAATCCAGTAACATATAAAAAGGATTATACACCAAAACCAAGTGGGCTTTATCTCTGGAACACAGGTTGGTTCTACACACATGGATCAATGTAACACACCATATTGAAAGTTTTAAAGGACAAAAATCATATACTCATCCCAATACATGCAGAAAAGGTAGCTGGCAAAATCAAACGCTCTTTCATGATTTAGAAAAAAAACACTCAACAAACTAGGACTAGAAGGGAACTTCCTCATACTGATAAAGCCAGCTATGGAAAACCCACCATTATCATCATATTTAATGCTGAAAGATTAGATGCTTTCCCCTAATGTTAGGAAAAGACAAAGGTGCCTGCTCTTGCCACTTCTATTCAACACTGGAGGTTCTAGACAGGGGAGTTAAGCAAGAAAAAGAAATATAAGGCATCCAGATAGAAAAGGGAGAATTAAAACTAACTATTCACAGATGACATGATCCTGTATATAGAAAATCCTAAGGAATTCACAAAACTATTAGAACTAAAAATGAGTTCAGCAAAGTTGCAGGATACAAGATCAACACAGTTATTTTTCTGTACACTAGCAATGAACAATTCAGAAATGAAATTAAGAAAATAATTCCATGTACAGTAACACTAAAAAGAATGAAATACTTAGGAATAAATTTAGTAAAAGAAGTGTAAGATTTGTACACTAAATACTAGAAAACATCTGATTTTTTATTTTTTTTAATTTTCAATTAATTTGGGGGGCGGGTAATTAGGTTTACGTATTTATGTACTTTTAGAGGAGGTACTAGGGATTGAAGCCAAGACCAGGACCTTGTATATGCTGAGCACATGCTCTCTACCACTTGAGCTATACCCTCCCCCTAGAAAACATCTTTAAAAGACATTAAAGATCTAAATAAATGGAAAAACCCAGATTTCATGGACTAGAAGACTTAATACTGTTAAGATAGCAATATTCCCCAAATTGATTGACAAATTCGATGCAATTCCCATCAAAATCCCAGCAGGCATTTCTGCACAAATTGACAAGATGATTCCAAAATAAACAAAATGTGACATCTATCCATACAATGGAATATTATTCAGCAACAAAAAAGAATGGAGTACTGGAGGTAGGGGTGGGTATAATTCAGTGGTAGAGCACATACTTAGCATGCACGAAGTCCTGGGTTCAATCCCCAGTACCTCCATTAAAAAATAGAATTAACAGACAACAAGTTCATACTGTATAGCACAGGAAACTATAGTCAGTATCTTGTAGTAACCTATGGTGAAAAAGAATATGGAAACAAATATATGTATGTTCATGTATGAATGAAGAATTATGCTGTACACCAGAAATTGACATACTGTAAACTGACTGTATTTCAATAAATATACACAAAAAATAAATACAAATAATTTTTAAAAAAGAATGAAGCCTAATATATACTACAACACAGATGAATCTTGAAAACAGTGTAAGTGAAATAAGCCAGACACAAAAGTCACATGATTCCAATTATATGAAATGTACAAAAATACACAAATCTATACAGGCAGAAAGATTAGTGATTGCCTAGATCTACTAGGGATGAAGGGGATAAGGGAGAGTATAGCTAAAAGGGAGGGAGTATCTTTGGGGAATAATGAAAATGTCCTAAAAATTGATTGTGGTGAAGTTGGCAAACTGTGTGAATACACTAACAGCCATTAAATTGTACATTTTAGATGTGTGACTTGTATGGTAAATGAATTACATCTCAATAAAGCTGTTAAACGAAAAAGACACAGAACCAATCTGATTGTCCCTCTACTCAAACCTCCCCCATTCTTGACCACTAAGAAAGGACATAACATTATTTTTTAAGAGGAAAAATTAGAATGCTGAGCCCTTTGATTATCTTCCTTCTTCAAGCACCACTTTTAATCTCAATTTCAAGAGCCCCTAGTTAAATACAAACCTCTGTAACTTTCTGTGCCTCTGAAGCAATTCTTTGCACTGTTGTAAAACAAATGTTGAATTCCTGAATGATGGAAGGATATAAACTGTTGAAGTCCAGAAGCAAAATGAACTTATCATAAAAACCTGCAAGAAAACAGCCCCACGTTACAAAAAGACTTTAAAGTAGATTTGGCAAAACAGCACATTACAAGCACTATAATATGAAATGATCTACTACCCAGAACTCTGAGGTAGACAAAAAGAAAAAAGCAGTGGATGACAACTCCATAAAAATAACTTGGGATAAAGTAAAAAGGTCACAAAAGAAAAGAAAAGCGATCCTGTCTTATCTTGAACCCCAGTAGTCCCCAACGTACACCATTATTATAGGCAAACACCTTCCCATATTAACTACTTCAGACAGGTGTCACATCCATTTCAAAAAAATGTTGTTAAATAAATTCTCCTTTAGGAAAGCATTCTCTCCCATCTACCCTCCCCATCTCCACTCTTCAAATGTTTAGTGATCTGTATCAGCAAGTGGTTCTATATTGTTTTATAATCACACCTTCAAAGGATAAAATGGGCAGCCCATTTATCTGTACACAAACAGCTCAGATGAGACAAGAGATGTATGTATAAATGTCAGTAGTGGAACGATCCACCTCTTTTACCTGCAAAGGGTGAACAGAAAGCTACTATATTTCTCTAGGACATTTACAAAGAGTTATCTTCATCTTGAGAAGAAACTGAATGCAAATAAATGTCCACAATTAAGATAATAGTAACAACAGCAAGCATATATTGATAGCTTACTGTGTCTGGTACTATAGTAAACAATCATCTTTATTCCTCAGATCCCTGTGTGGTAGGTATTTTTCTTATCACCATTTTAAAGAACAGGAAACTGAGGGTTACAGAGAGGCAGCCCAAGGTCACACAGCAGCCCAAGATCACACAGCCAGAATTCAAGGCCAGATCTACCTAACACCAAAGGACAACTGATCTGTCTCATTACAACTAATAATAAAATCACTTTTATCAAAAATGTCTTCTACTCAGAGTTCAAGTTACTTGATAAAATTCACATTAATTCCTGTACAACAATGTGAATATACTTAACATTCCTCGACTACACTTAGAAATGGTTAAGATGGTAAAAGAAAATTTTTTTTTAATATTCATTCAGGGGAGGGTATAGCTTAGTGGTAGAGCATGTGCTTAGCATGCACGAGGTCTTGGGTTCAATCCCCATTACCTCCACTAAATATAAATAAACCTAAATAACTCCCCGCCCCCAAAAAATCACAAAAAGATCCTTTCTAGCTCTGTGTACCATGAAACATCTTCTTTGCCATTCATGACCACAGGGAAAAGTTATTCTTCTGTTAAAGTTCAATTTGGTAGTTACTGCCTGGACTTTCTTTAACCTTGCTGTCCAACTGAACTGGCCCTGGTACACTGGGCAGAGCCCAAGAGTGGATGGGAGAAGAAAGAGGTGCTCTTACCCCAGGACAAATAGCCATATACTAGACCACAGGTTGGCAAACTCTGCACAGACCAAATCCAGCCTACCCCATTTTTGTACCACTCATGAGCTAAGAATAGTTTCTACATCTTTAAATAGTCAAAAAAAATTTAAAACAGACTTTCATGATATGTGAAAATTACACAAAATTTACATTTCAATATCCATAAATAAACTTTCTTGGAACACAGCAAAGAAAAAAAATCACATTAATTCCATGTTCGGTGACTGACAGAAAGATTTTCACAAGAACGTAAGAAAAATAAGGTCATTATGAAACCTATTCACTAACCTACAAAATACAATTCAATTCTTCTAGTTCAAGCCTAGCTCTGCATTAAGAAATGCCTTAACACGAGGGGCAAACCAATTCGCCATCCAGCCTTACCAACTTTGGGGTCCAATACCAAGCCTCCAGAATAAGCTGCTTTCTTACGTCCTTTTTTGTGTTTACTGGTATCTCCATCAATGTCTTCATCTTCATCTCCCTAATATCAATTAGAAAGATAACTTTACCAGCCAGCAACTAATGAACCAATTTAGAAATGTTATGATTTTCCCCTTTCCAACTGAAGTACAGTTCTAACAAACATTCTTTACTTTTAGTTAGTGGTCCTACCTGTGAGGAAAGACAGTGATTGTAATATGTTCACGAATCGAAATGAATGCCAAGCATGGTAGTTACCGAAACAAATTACTGCATCTCTGAGCTGATAAATATGTAAATTCTACTTTAAAATGTCTCTAAATTCATAAAACTTCATATTTTTAAATGGACACTACAAATTCATATTATGTAAAATTTGAGGTTGTTAAGAATCCTCTTAAATTCATTACTCTAACGTGCATGATATAAAAATAAAAAACATTTTATAGATATTATTATTATTCTCATTATTAATATGCACACCTTAAAATAAGTATGTCCACATACTGAAAATTCATTCCCAAGTAGTTTGTTAACGGCCAAATTCAATACCTCAGAAGTCAAAATCCTCTAAGTTAATACTTCCTTTACAAATTTTGATAATGTGCATAAAACAAGCAAATGTAAGAACACGAGACATTTTAACATAAACTCCCATTCTGAATCAACTACTATTAGCACAGATAAAACAGTAGCTAAGCTAAGTATTACTTCCAGTGTGATGGAGGCCACTTCAGAAACCTCACTGTGGTGATCTTAATCCCTACTAGAATATACAAATCCAACAACACAACACAGAGATAAAGGCTCATGGATTCAAGGAAATAAAAGGTTTATCTGTCATCTAACTTTGGGTGGGGCTAAGGTGGCAAAACAGTTTCCCTGTGTGGTCACCCATCAGAGAGGCCAAATGTCTTCCTCAAAGAATTTCGTATTTCACAAGTAATTTTTATATGTCCAGAGGAAGGTAGAGAAGAAAATGGCCACAAAAACACAACGGAACTAACGTGATACAGTTTCTACAGTATACAGGGAATTAATGATTTTGGGAGCAGATGTTATCACAGCAAAACAATAAATAAATAAAGCTATCTAGGTAACAAAAGGCAGGGATAAGAAAAAGCAAAGCACTACACAATTTTGGACCCACCAGTTTTTGCTGAGGCTTTCTGAAAATCTGCTTGTCAGGCACAATATAGTTGTTTTCATAAAATGCATGAAGCAACAAGAACTCATTACGCTCGGATCGTCCACCCATCAGCGTCCTAGACTATTAAATACAATATCTTTTTAAAACCTGAGCTCAAAATCACAATAAACAAAAGCAACTTTGAGTTGGTAAATTTAATCATAGCACCGCCTTCAAAATCACTTCTCATAACAAAGGCTGTTTTTTAAAAAAAAGTACTAAATTATTTCTAGCATTTTCTTTAAGCATTATAGTTAAAAGGAGACAAAGAGAGCTCAAAATACTGACAACTTGGACTATTTCTTTACTCCCAAATGGACCACTCCACAAATCACACATCCAGATGTTAGAGATGATCCTTATGTTCACCCAAATTTCAACAGACTGCACCTGGCTTTCCTCCCCTTCTCCCAAGCAGTTCTTCATTTTACAAAAGCAGCCCAGCTTTCAGAATACAAGTTACTCATTTTATAAGCATGCATTTAGACTCATTATCATATAACAACTACCCCAAGAAAATACTGGATCCAACAGGAAATGCTTTTTCCCCCTTTCTAAGTTAAATTTACCATAATGTTCCCAGCGATGTTAGTGATCTGCAATGCTAATGGAAGAACATTTAGCTCACACATGATCTGCAAAATGAACCTGGCATCTTTCCAGGTGTGTTCCAACAGGTACAACAGATGAGAAGATTCACTGTACAGAAAAGTAAGAATGAAACAGAATCAAGTAATTAAAAGAAACAATGACTATAATCAGAACTTCATAAAATATTACAAAAAAAATTTTTGGTGTAAGTAACTTCAGAGCAATGGCACCTCAGCTTTGGAAACAATTTAAAATAACGTCAGTATGAAATTAGGAATTCATTCATACCACTGATTCCTACCGCCCTTCTCTAAAACACAAAAAAATTCCACAAAGAGAAAGTGAAGGTATGTGTTAACTACAACCTGAAAACTACCTAAATCCTTTCATTCCTTCCATCCATTAAGGATGTATTACATACCTACTATGTGCCAGGCATTATTCTAGATGCTGGTTGTGACCAAAACAGACCAAAATTCCTGTCCTCATGGGAGACAGAAAGAAAATAAATAATTTAACATATGATATGTTATATAATTCTAAGTGTTAAGAAGGAAAATTAAGAAGCAACGGGACTATTCAGTGTCAGGAGCAGAGACTGATATTTTAGTTGGGGAACCGGGGAAGAGTTCAGTGAGAATGAAGACCTGGAAGAAGTGAGGGGCGGTATGTGTGGACAGGATCCGAGGGAAGAGTGCTCCAGGCAGACAGAACAGCACATTCGAAGGCCCTGAGCTGAGCAGAAATCTGGCAGTTCCAGCAGCAAGAAGGAGACCAGTGGCTGGAACAGAGAGAATGATGGGGAGTACAGCAGAAGGTACAGACAGAGTTAATGGTAGAGAGACCCACTGTTTAGGACCTTGTAAATCAAAATAAGCACTTCGGTTTTCACTCTGAATGAAACAGAAAATCACTGGGAGACTAAGCAGAGTGCTATATTTAACTTAACTTTAGCACAGCTAAGTCTGGTTCCTGGGTTGAGAACAGACAGCAAGGGGTCAAGGGCAAAACCAAGGAGACAGGTAAAGAGGCTAATGTAAGACCCAGTGACCCAGGAGAAAGAGGATGGTGGCTTGGACCAGGTGGGTCCAATGGAGGGGAAAAGAAGTGGTCGCATACAGACATATTTTGAAGACAGAGCGGACAGGACTTCGTGATATCCAGTAGAACAGGCAGGTGGAGACATAAGCCTGGAATTCAGGGGAGATGAAGCTACACTGGCGGGAGGCATCAGCACCCACAGAGGATTGAAATTCCTGAAACTTCACGGTATCACCCAGGGAGGAAGTGCAGTCCAAAAGAGAAGCAGTCTGAGGACTCAGGAGGAACAGGCAAAGAATGAGAAGTGGCCAGAGGGTATGAGAAACCTTATTTAAGAAATACCAAGCTCAAAGTTTCAGTTATGCAAAATGAGTAAGTTCCAGAAATCCAATGTACAGCAATGTGACTACAGTTAACAATACTGTATTGTATACTTGAAATTCCCAAAGAGGGATAAATCTTAAGTGTTCTCACCACAAAAGAAAAAAAAGTAGTGACTGTGTGAAGTGATGGGTACGTTAATTACCTTGATTATGTATCAAACATCAGGTTGTATACCTTACACAAAATACGATTTTTATTTGCCAAATTTGACCTCAATAAAGCTGAACTAAAGAAATAATCAGCAACATCTGCAAGTAACTGAATGATTTCTCAGTTTTTACATTTCTAAAATATTTGCATTAATTTCTGAATTAATGAATTAAGGATGGAAACCTAAATATGACATCAATTTCCAAACTGCTATCAGGAAACATCAAGATGGTGTTAAGTGAGGGAGATATTCCGATAAAATTAGAATAATTCAAAAGGCAAAATAATTCAAATGACTACAGTAATGGAGATGGTGACGCAGACATGAAGACAGACAATTCCCCTCCACAGCACCACAGGCACCTGTCGCTCCAGCCTCAGGATGATTCTGGCATCTTGCTGTTGCTAATTTCAAGACAGACAAATTCTGAAGCATTCAGGATCATACCTGTACATATTTCGTATATTTTCCACCGGGATTACAACCCTTTCTGTTTTCAGAATCTGTTGAACAAGTTCAGATAAATGGTAGCTTTTACAACGAATCAATTCCTTTGCTGAAATTTCCACATCACAGATCATTCGGCCACAGGTAGCATTTCTTTCACCAAATCCACTCCTGCCCTATAAGAGGAGGACCAAAAGCAAATCCCATTGAAGAGCAGAGACTGAGAACATTTCTTTCTAACCTGCTTTGAGACTGGCCCCAAAATTAGAAGGATGAAACTCTCACTCTTCCATTCATGCGTTCATTCAGCTGTCAGTCAAACCTTTTTGAACATTCACTATGTATCCGACACTGTTGTAGGTACTCGGAATACAGTGGTGAGCAAAATAGAAAGGATTTCTGATCTCATTTGAAATACACAATAAAAAAAGAAATTATACAGTTTTAGGAGGTAGTAAGTATATGGAAAAGAGAAACTAGAATAAGGTGAGGGGAACAAGGAACTTGGGGGGACTGCATCTTAAATAAGGTGGTCCAGGTAGACTTCCCTGAGAAGATGCCATATGAGGAACCTTGAAGCGGGTAAGGAGTCAGCAAAGCAAGTGTTTGAAGTGTTAACAATGACTCTATCACCTTAAAGACATGAATAGGAAAAGAAGCAAGAGCATCGGCCCCAACTCCAATTGGCGGCAACAGAACCCTCTGGAGAGCATTCTAAAAGGTACAGATTCCGAGGCAGCAAGCCATTTTGCTTACAAGCTTTAAGTAAAGTAAGACTCCAAGCACTGAGCAGTCTCAGGTCTAGGAAATGAAGGTGCTTCATACAAAAACCACCAAAACCTCCCTTAAGTGAAGCAAGCAGGTAGGACGAAAAGTACACAAGCTTTCAGAGAGTCAGATGGGGCCTGGGTTCAAAATTTTAGTTCGTCCCTTTACTAGCTCGGAGATCTAGCACGAGTTCAGCCACCCCCATGAGAATGTGCAATAAACCCGGAGTTGCTGTGAGACAGAATAAACACAACAGGCACGCAGCCTGTTGCCTTCTTACACACTCAGTGTCTGCCCCCTCCCGTTCCTCCTTCCCACCTCCTTCCTGAATGAGAACAGGATTGCTGAACCCTGCAGCTCTGCTCTGAGGGACTCCGAGTGGAGCTAACACATGTGCTGTCTCTAGATTCTAAGAGCTGACTTTTAAAACTACCAGCACCTTTACTAATAAAATGTTGGAGTCAAAGGAAAAGATGTTTGGTGCCAAAGTTAAAATGTCCTGCCATAAGGTAACCGGTTCCTAGTCAGAGAAGCGCAATGTGCTCCCTGGTAGTTACTCCATATAAAGAAACGAAACAGAGAAGTAAAATTTTCAAAAGTATTATTACCCCGAGCTTTGGCATGTTGGATCGCTTCAGCCGACCTATCTTGGACCAGTAAGGAACTTTGCACACGTTAATTCTCTGCAGTAGCACTTCCAGTTCAAATCCATAAATATTATGACCCTAGTCAGAAAAAGAAGGCAGCCAATAACATTATAACAAACACAAATTAGAGGATTTATCTCCACATGCGTAGAATTTCTTTGCCCTTTCTTTTTCTGGTCTCTAATTGAAGGCATCATGAGCTTACCTCCGATTGGGGTCCTTTCTTCTTCAGGAATGTATTCATCAGCGGCGTTCATTAGCCTTGACATTAACAAGGCTGCTAAGCAGATTGCTGGAATAAACTTTATTTTATCCTAATTGATGCAAGGTTCATATGATGTCTTTTAATTTGGCAGCTCATGCCTCACAGTCTCGAAGGCAAATGCAAATTTTAATGTCCCATACTTTTTAGGCGATCAGTAAAAGCTGTATGTGAACAATTCCATTTTACTTTCTAAAAAACCGAGAACCCAGCTGTTTTGCGACAGTTTAGACTCCTTAGAAAACTCGGGAACTGCATCTAGTTTCTTAAAGAATTGAGTTCAAACACTACTGATTTATACTCAATCAACGTGCAACAAAACAAACTTAATACCAACTTGATAGTTCAATAAGAAACTTGTTAAAAACATGGAAACAAAAATTTCCCAAGTAAAAAAAAATTCAAAAATGCAACCAAATTCTCCATGTCTGTACTGCTAATTCCCATCATGTGAATGATATGGTTCACTGCTTATTATCTATTTAAAAAAACTAGATGAAGTTTAAAATGAATCAACAGATTTAGTTGTTATTAATTTTAAATAAAAATACATACCACTATATATTTATGGCAGGTTTGTCTATTAAACTGAGAGATCCAAAGGACATGAGGAAGTCTCATTTCCAGATTATCATGCCCAGGATTAGGGACTCAAATCCATGTCAGGATTCTGTCTTATATCAGTTTGGATTTCTCACACAGCCTTGGCTCTAACATCCTAAGGCAGGCCAGCTACCTTAGACTTCAAGACATCCCCTTGGGTACCAAGACAGATTGCTAGTGGAGGCTGGGTGAGGGCCTGATGCTGAACCTAAGCACCACAGGAGGGCACTGTGGACAGAATCTTCCTGGCACTTTCAAGATGGGTCCTGAAGTATCGTAAGGGAAGTGGGTGCAGAGACACTGAGAATCTATAAGCTCTCAGTACTTTGGCTACACCGTCACCAGGAGAGAAGTCCATGAGCAAAAATGAACACAGAGAAATAGATGGCAAACATTTTCACAAGGTTTCAATGTAATCAAATTACTGAGATCACTTAAAGTACAGGCATTTATATCCTACTTCCCTCCAAAAAAACCCCCAAAGCACAATATAATTTAATTGGTCCATTAACCCAGAAAAAAGATAAAAGGAAGAACTCCTACCAAGGCGTCTACAAAAGAAGGAAGGCCAGAGACAACAAAGCAAAATGTTGCTTTAGGTAGGATTCTTCCAAACTGGCAAAGACAACACAATGAATTGTTACCACTTACTATTTAGGGCAAACATATTCAGTCATCAAGAGAAAAAAAAGATTCCTAGCCAGGAGCTCTCAAAGGAGTATGTCATAGAGATTCACTGAGCTCATAAAACTAAAATATTCATACTTTGGGGATTTACACCAAACCAAGAGAATTCACTCCTGTGACCCCTATACAACTGGACCACTAAGCCAAAATTTTGGAGACATTAACAGTTGACATGAGTTTACCTACTTCTGGGCTGCTCTCTCACTGTAAATAACAGGTGTATCCTAAAATTCAACAGTAATTCATGAGTTGCTTTTCTATTAGAGGGGAAAAAACTATCTTGTAGTGGGCTGGGATTTTTTCTCCTTTCTGTAAACAAAGTACAGCAATTCTCTACCAGTCTACAGGGTCATTTCACTCTGAAAAGATTCTTTGCCACTCAAAAAGTACCAATCAAGTCACACTGAAAAGAACTAAGGAATGAAGAGCTTCCCCACAACATGATAAACATCTACTCACCACAATGATATCAGGATCAATTTTGTGAACTTTTGCAAGGAAAAAACCTAGCAGTGTTCGTTCTGTTGCAGCAACCTCAATCTTCACATTCTGTTAGATAAAAACATACCAGTCATTTATCTTTACTCTCAAGTACTATACCTCGGCTCCTTGTTCAAACAGGGTAAGATTTCTTAGGGTTAAAAGAAACCATCCATTTCAAAACTAAATGCAGCAATGAAATTCCTGATTCCAGATTTCGCAGTAATAATTGCACAAAATCTCTGAAGAGCTAATTCTAGTAATAGCATGTGCATGAAGCAAAATTTTAAGTGCTGAGTACTATCAAATGCAAAAATGTCCCTCCATAGGGACATGCTTGTGCATCTGGACACCTTTTATAGCATATGAATCAGAGTACCTATCAAAAACATTACTTACTTTCCCATATAATCCCTGACAGACTTCACTGTTTATGTATACACCACATTAAGAGATTTCAAGGATTGTATGAACAAATCCCAAATAGTGGTGTAAAAATCCATAAATAAGAAACTAGACTAAAAACAAACACACATTTAAGAATTCTAAGTATCTTAAGTTATAAATAAAACCTATTTACACACAAAAGGCTTCCACTTGGATTACTCAATATAAACCAGGTATTCAAAAGATCCCCTCTTATTAAGACTCCTAAAATGCAAGTTGATGGCTATGTTTTTGACAACTAGCTCGGCTAAAAAATATCAGTTTGACTCTAATGGAACTTTCCTGGGTCATTTTACTTAGATAGGTATTTTGGGGCACCTCACAAGTAAGCATCTGATCCAATAGTACCCCAGACTACTGGACTTCTCAAATCAATTTAAAATAAGTGGAACATGGCAAGGTTACTAACTTTTAATTCTGTCAAGTGAGGACATTTAAAAAACAAAGCTACAAATTTACCAGCACAAGCATTTCATGAAAGAAAAAGCATACTCTTCAAAAAAGAAATGCTTTATACTGAATACATTTATCTTTATGAAAAACTTACTACATTATATTACTTCTCCTCACCATTTTATTAAGAACCCATGAAAACTTCTTCATGGAGTGTACTGGGAGACTAGAGATAACTGATCAATTATGGCCCAGCCCACATTAACCTTTCCAATATACATCTCCTTTAATATACATAATATCCACAGCATTCCCAACTTCTCCTGACTTCCTTCAAGGAGGCGAGGGGAGGACGGGGAGGTAATTTAACACTTCCCCAAAACCGTAATCACGAGACTGCGCAATTTTGGAAAAACTTCCAATTAAGCTACCTGAAGGAGGGTTTGAGAACACCCCATCTATTAATAAGGTGTAAAATCCCATTATTTTCACAGGAGGAAACATCTAAACATTGTTAAATAATGTTTCTAGTTTTATGCTTCTAATACATTTTTAATGGATTAATGCCATAGTCCAATCTAGCAAGAATAGATCTAATAAATTAACGTATAAAATAGCCTATTTCTACTGATCCACAAATCCACAACATTCTCCCTTTCTTTTTAAACAAATAGATATCTCATATTTAAAAGGAATAAATAATGAGGTTTTTACCTTTTCCTTAATGCTTTCTTTGAAATCATATGGAAAAATACAGTCCTTTGGTTTAGATACAACTGTAAAAAAGGAAAAAAAAATAAAGATTTCAACATCCATCATAGTCCAATTTCAAGTACACATACACTGCATGTATCTGAATGGAAACCATCTTAAATATAAATAAATTCCCTCTAATCCCTAAAGAGTCACCAAAACAAACTATCCTAAAATTCATATGGAACCACAGAAGACCCTGAATAGCCAAAGCAATCTTGAGAAAGAAGAAAGAAGCAGGAGGAATCACACTCCCTGATTTCAAACTGTACTACAAAGCTACAGGAATCAAAATGGTATGGTATTGGCATAAAAACAGACATACAGATCAATGAAACAGAATAGAGAGCTCAGAAGTAAACCCATGCATAACACGGTCAATTTATGACAAAGGAGCCAAGAATAAACAATGGAGAAAGGATAGTTTCTTCAATAAATGATGCTGACAAAACTGGACAGCCACATAAGATAATGAAACTGGACCACTATCTTATACCATAAACAAAAAACTAATTCAAAAGGAGTTAAAAGCTTGAACATAAGACTTGAAACCATAAAAATCCTAGAAGAAAACATAAGCAGTAAGTTCCTTGACATTGGTCTTTGCAATGACTTTTTGGATTTGACACCAAAAGCAAAAATAAACATGTGGGACTACATCAAGGTACAAAACTTCTGCACAACAAAGGAAATCATTAACAAAATGAACAGGCAAGCCACCAAATGGGAGAAAATATTTGCAAGTAATATATCTGATAAGAGATTAATATCCAAAATACATATTTTTAAAAACTCATACAATTCAATAATAACAACAAAAAAAAAACCTCATTAAAAAAATGGGCAAAGGAGCTGAACAGACATTTTTCTAAAGACATATAGATGGCCACCAGGTACATGAAAAGGTCACAAAAAAGAGAAACACAAATCAAAACCACAATGAGATATTACCTCACACCTGTTAGAATGGTTATTACCAAAAGACAAAACGTAAGTGTTGGTGAGGATGTAGAGAAAAGGGAACCCTTGTGCACTGTCGGTGGGAATGTAAACTGGTACAGTCACTATGGAAAACAGTATGGAGTTTCCTTAGAAACTTAAAAATAGAACAACCATTTAATCCATCAATTCCGCTTCTGAGAATTTATCTGAAGAAAATGAAAACAGTAAATTGAAAAGATATATGCATCCCTATGTCCACTGCAACATTGTTTACAATAGCCAACACATGAAAGCAACCACAGTGTCCATCAGCGGATGAATGTGAAAAGAAAATGTGATATATTTATACAATGGAGTATTATTCAGCCATAAAAAGAAACCCTTGCTATTTGTAACAACCTGGATGGATTTAGAGGGCATTATGCTAAATAAGACAAAGAAAGACAAATATTGTATAATCTCACTTATATGTGGAATCAAAAAAACAGGAAAGAAAATGAAAGGAGCTCACAGATAGAACACACAGTGACTACCAGGGGGGGAGTGGTACAGGGTACAAAGGCAGAAAGTTCTAGCTATAAAACAAATAAGTCTTGGGGATATAAGGCACAGCATGGTGACTATAATTAATAATTCTGTATTGCATATTTGAAACTTGCTAAGATAATAAATCTTAAAAGTTCTTATCACAAGAAGTTTTTTATAACTATAGTGATGGATATTAACTACATATACAAATACAGCATCATTATGTTGTACACCTGAAACTAATACAATGTTACATGTCAATTATACCTCAATTTTTTCAAAGTTTAAAAATTAAATCTAAAAACAAAGAATAGCAAAGCACAGAACACTAAGTCCCCACCATTGTTAAACTGCTTTGATAAAACACTTGCTAGCAATCTAAGCCAGAATGGAGGATATTTAAGCCTTTCCCAAAGGAAATCCTTACCACAACCAAAACCTCAACCAGCATACAACAGAGGAACTCAGTCCAACCTTCTCAAAGCTAGAAAAGATGACCAAAGCTTCCCCCACTACACTCTAAGTTCCATGCCATTCACAGGAGCTGCTCACAGTGACATACTTAGAGGTAAATGCTGAAATGAGCTAATGACTGCTCTCTTCCACATATTTTCCAAGCTATCCCCATCATTTTGTCCTGCGTACTCCACTCAACTTAAGAGGTAAAACTTCACAATAATAATACATCACCCTCCCTTCTTTGCTCACTTCCCTAGTTTCACTTTCCTAATATCTGGGAAACCAGACAGGAGATGTTGTCCCAGTTAATCTCTGGTTCTGGACTGGAAAAGATACCAGGAAGCAAAACAGATCAATAGTGTTATGCCTTTATTGTTTTTTCTTTTAAACAAAAAATGATTACTTAACTGGCCAAGTTCTCAACATGGAATTTTCAGAATCTTCCATGAAGACTGACTCATGGGGGTAGGAGGGTATATAGCTCAGTGGTAGAGCATGCATGAGTCCCTGGGTTCAACCTCCAATACCTCCATTAAAAAAATAACTAAATAAATAAACCTAACTACCACCTCCCCCCACCAAGAAAAAACTAAACTAAAACTAATTAAAAACATAAAAGACTGACTCATGGCATGGAGAATTCTGTGGAACAGTTTCACCCACTGAATTTTGTGCCCAGCACAACCCAACTCCAACTTGATATTACTGTAACTCCTCCCAGATAGGTAAACATTCACTTATGCCTTGGCATCTTGTCTCATCACACAGAAAACTTTGGCCAGGCTCCTAATACAGGCTTTTAGAATGACATCATGAAAAGAAAATAGTTACAGCATAATTTTGACCCAGGAAAAAACTACTCTACCATGAGAGTAACCACTGGAACAGAAAAAAAGATATCAAACTTCCGCCTGACTTCTGCTCCTAGAACAAAATTAACCAGCTGAACAGGAGCAACCAATTCAATAAAACTTTGTGTCCACAGCTGACCAAAAGAAACTTCTTTAACAAATAAAAACAAAAACAAACAAATGGAATCCAATCAAACTTAAAAGCTTTTGCACAGCAAAGGAAATCACCAACAAAACGAAAAGACAACCTACGGAATGGGAGAAAACATTTGCAAACAATGTGACCAACAAGAGGTTAATATCCAAAATATACAAACAGTTCATACAACTCAGTATCGAGAAAACAAACAACCGAATCAAAAAATGGACAGAGGACCTAAATAGACATTTCTCCAAAGACATACAGATGGCCAACAGATAACATGAAAAGATGTTAAACATCACTAATTATTAGAGAAAAACAAATCAAAACCACAAGGAAGTATCACCTCACACTGGTCAGAATGGCTATCATCAAAAAGTCTACAAATAATAAGTAATGGAGAGGTTGTGGAGAAAAGGGAATCCTCCTACACTGCTGGTGGAAATGTAAATTGGTGCAGCCACTATGGAAAACAGTATGGAGGTTCCTTAAAAAACTAAAAATAGAGGTATCATATGATTCAGCAATCACAATCCTGAGCATATATTCAGAAAAGTTGAAAACTCTAATTTGAAAAGATACATGCACCCCAATGTTCATAGCAGCACTATTTACAGTAGCGAAGACATGGAAACAACCCAAGTGCCCACGGAGAGACAACTGGTTTAAGAAGGTGTGGTACATATATACAATGGAACAGTATTCAACCATAAAAAAGAATGAAATAATGCCATTCGCAGCAACATGGATGGATCCAGAAAATATGGTACAAAGACAGAAAAAGACAAATATGATATCACTTATATGTGGAATCTGAAAAACAATACAAGTGAATCAACATACAAAACAGAAATAGACTCACCAATGTAGAAAACAAACTTATGGTTACCAAAAGGAAAGGGGGAATAAATTAGGAGTATGAGATTAACAGATGCAAACTACTATACATAAAACAAGATTAGCCACAAAGATTCACTGGATTTATACAGGGAACTATATTTAGTATCTTGTAATAACCTACAATGGAAAATAATCTAAAAAATATATATGTAGAAGTGAATCACTTTGCTGTACACCTGAAACTAACACAATATTGTAAATCAACTACAATTCAATTAAAAAAAAAACTTCTTTAACAATATACACTAACTGCTCTTGAAAACATTTCCTTTTCAAGTTACTGATCCAACAGCTAGAAAGAAAGTAAGAGAAATTAAAATTAAGCCATTAGTTAACAAGCTAAAAAAATACATACCACAAAAGTGTGATTGAAAGGGAGGCTGCGGGGGGGCTTTATCTAACGCAAAACTGTGATGCACCAAAGCTGCCACAGCAATAATCTACAAAGAGAAAACAAATCACTTATCAGACACCACTATGCAGCCGGCATTCTCACCAAAACCACCAAGAACGTAAAGATACAGATTTTAGTCCTTAAGAGTATTTTAACTTTTTATTATGAAAGTATTTAATAAAAAATAATAAAATCACCTCTCATATACCCATCATCCTGCTTCCATTATCAGCTCATCAATAGCCCTGTCTATCCTGCCTTCCCTGTACCGCCCTGTTATTTTGAAGCAAAACCCTTTATCTATCACTTTATCCAGAAATATTTCAGCAGATCTCTCTAAAACAGGGTTTCTCAACCTCAGCACTATGGACACTTAAGGCTGAACAATTCTTCGCTGTAGGGCTGCCCTATGCGCTGTGGAATGTTTAGCAGCATCCCTGGCTGCTTACAGCACTGCTCTCCATCCCCGCAATCTCCAAGCTGCGACAACTAAAAACGTCCCCAGACATGGCCAGAAGTCCCCTTAAGGGGATTTTGCCCAGCTGAGAACTACTACTTTAAAAGATGAAAAGTTTTTAAGATGCAATATGATCATCTCAGCTAATACAATTAATAGTAATTACTTAAACTCATTAAATATCCAGGCAGAATTCAAATTCTCATGTTTTCCCAACTATCTTAATTTTATTTACCAAATAAATCCATACTTTGCATGTGGCTGACAGGTAAAACTATGAAGTACAATCCCTCCTCACCTATTATTTCTCTGCAGTTTATCTGTTGAAGAAACTGGGTTGTTGTGCCGGTAGAGTACCCCACAGTACAGATTCTACTGCATCTATCCCAGCAATATCATTTAACGTATTTTTTTCTGTTTCTGTACTGCCTGGATATTCATATGTAAATCTAAAGGCTTGATCAAAATCAGGTTCAAATTTTTGGCGAGAATACTTTGGAGGTATCACTGGTTATCACTGGTTATCACATCAGGTCGGGTTACCTCTAATTTTAGTGATGGGGCAGCCACTGAAAATCACTGCCTAGACCCATTATTTCATTAGGGATTGCAAAGTGGTCAGACTCAGTTTTTCCTTCATCATTTTTTTTTTCATCATTTATTAACTGGAAACCGTCTATGAAGAGAAACCTCCCTGAATCAACGATTTGGTTACCTGAGGTACAGTATGTGTTCAAAAAAGTCAAGATAAATGCTTGATTGAATTCCTTTATTTACCAGTTTTCAAAATGAGTTGGTTCCCTAGTTCCCTTCACAGGTAAGCTATGTGGTGCTGTGTTTACACTATCATTATGAACTCCTGTGTTTCAATCTGTTGCAGTTATTCTTACACATGCTCAAATTGTCCCATCTTTGTTGACAGGAAACTCTTCAAGTTGACTCCTGCGTCTTTCTGACATCTTCAGTGGATTTTAATATTGTCCTTGTTTTCTAGTATAACAAGACATTCCAGGCTTATCTTGGACATTTCCAGCCCCAAATTAGCCATTTCTTCAGAGCTCTATTTCCTTTATTAGGAAATGGTATTTTGAAACCTTACTCTGGCTGCTGGAGGATGGATTTTTTTTTTTAACAAATTAAAATTTTCCCAAACACTTAACTATTAACTGTCTCCTGTATTAGCTATTATTAAAAGATGAAATCACACACTACAAAAAATTGCCAAAATGCTGCTGTTAAAAAAGATCCTCAATGTCAAAAGGATTCAGAAGAAAACATAAAGAAGCTCCCAATGACCGAAGAAAGCCAAAGTTAAGCATTAAAAATAGCAATAATTAATGATTGCAATAGATTGAAATACTGACTATATATAAATAAGCCTGAGTTTATAATGACAGTCCATAAGAGAGGAAACAAAAATAAGTAACAACAAAAGTAAATAAACAAATCATTGTTCAACAACACATGTAATGTATGCCCTCAACTTCCTACTCAGAAAACTGGCAAAAGAAGAGAAAGTATGGCATTTATTGTTCCCTTCTTACATAAAGTGTTGCAGCATAACAAAATAGTGCTGGTTAATAAGGAAAGGGTAACTTTATAGGAAACTTTAACTAATAATCATTCTAATATTTAACATGTTTAATAAACATGGAAGGATGACAGAATTAGAGAACCACATTTTACAACTCCTAATGAAATAACAAATTCAGGCAAAAATCAGATCATTGGGCTCTCAACTGGGAACAATTTTGCCCCCTATGCCCAGGGGACATTTGGAGATGTCTGGAAGCATTTCTGGTTGTCAGAATTAGGGGACAGGGGTCATGTTTGGCATCAAGTAGAGGCCAGGCATACTGGTAAACATCCCACCATACACAGGACAGCCTCTACAATGAGTTATCCAGCCCAAAACATCAGTGGTTGCGACAGTTAAAAAACTTGAACCTACTAATTAATCATAGCCCCACTAGGAGTGCTTTAACCAGACATTATGTGCCTGCTGATATGATGCAATATGAATTACACTGTACCACCAATACATTATTTAGGCCAAAAAAAGGTCAAACCTGAATCTAATCAATTCTGCAGCGTTAACAAGCAGGCGCGGGTGCTTTTTCTGTAAAGGGCCAGGCAGTAAATATTTTAGGCTTTCAGGTCACACGGTCTGTCATGACTAATAACTTTGCTGCCTAGTACAAAAGCAGCTGTAGACAATACATAAACGAACAGATGTACTGTCTTTCAATGAAACTTTATTTACAAAAATGGGTGGTGGGCTAGATTTGCCCACAGGCCATAGTTTGCCAACCCCTGGTATACAGGAAGAAATCTGATGATACAAGGAAGCAAACAAATACAGAAAATGGGTCATTCTTTGAGGCAACCTATAGTGATTTTTCATTAAGTGAATGTCACTGAAAAAACTGGAGAGGGTGGAAAGGAGCTGCGGCCACTTAAAAGAGATTCAAGAGACAAAAATTAAACATCATCTGTGGATCTTATATGAATCCTGATTCAAATAAAACAGCCGCTAAAATACATTTCTGAGAAACAGTCATGTGACTATGGACTGGGTATTTTAGATGGTATCAAGGAATCACTGTTAACGTTAATAGGTGTGATAATGGTATTCTATAAGAAAGTGTGCATGTTTTGAGAGATGCGTACCGAAGTACACAGAGGAAAAATGACACAACGTCTGAGATTAGCTTTAAAATACTTCAGGAGGGAAAAAAAGAGAGGGATAAATGAGTGTGACAAAATCTGGCTAACTGGTGAATATGAGTGATTGGTATATAGCAGTTCATTATCCACTTTAAGTTCTCCAAAACTAAAAAAACTTTAAAAACAAAAAAAATTCAGCAATTTAAGTTTAAAAAAAACCTCCAACTCTAGACAAATTCAATTCATTCTTCAAAATGGAGCTTGGTAGTGAATTAGTTTTCTTTCCCCTCCAAAAAGAACGACTTTCCTTTACAGAAAAGCTATGCAAGTTCAGGAAGTACCACACCTAAGGCATAGGTACGAAATCTGTCCTATTTACCTCATTCTCATGTGTCTTTGCATTCTGCATTGTCTTCATGCTGAAAGACATGACCATGAGTGGAGGAGGACTGACATCCTTAATTACATTCATCAGGTCTGGTTTCAAGGCCATTGCCTCAACTTTACACCAACTGATTGGCTGACCCAAGAGCTCTGAAAGAGAATAGATACAATAGATCAATAGCTATTTACCGAAAAAGAAAAACTACCAAAATGAAGACGTCTGTGATTAACTGAGATGGTCTTCAACCCTATCTTCTCACAAAAATGTCTTGTTACATCTAAAAATAAGCCACATTATTGGACTGTATGCAGATCTTTGTGTGTGTATACATATGTTCACTTCCCTGGGAAAAAGGTCCACAGCTTTCATCTGCCTTCCAAAAAAATCCAGAACCCAAAATAAGTTTTTAAAAACCAAAACACTGCCTTGGAGGAATCACGAAACAGTTTAAGAGATTCATGAAGACAAACCAGTGTGTGACAGATGACAGTACTGAGAAACATCAGGCAAGAGACCGTGCAAGCACGATCCCCACTGGGCAGTGATGCTTCCCTCCTTCAAAGGTCAGCAGTTCACCATGGAGAAGAGCTGGGCCGCATCAGCCAGGTCGGAAGTCCACACCAACAGCAGCACAATGAAGGATGTACCTGAATGGCCGCCTGGGCTGAGCCCCTCTCCCACTAAAATGCGAAGTATCACAGCAGCAGTCATTCCCCACAAACCCCTCTACACTCACTCAAGGAAGACCCTGAAAAGACCAACATAAAAAAGGAAGCAGACACGCTGAAATAAAGACCAATTCCTTAACTTCTAAAAACCGCATCTATCAGCGATTTACTTAGCACTTTTAAAAAGAAATTTTTCCTTACGTGGATTTTTTACTTCAAGCCAACAAGGTCCTTTGATCTTTCTGTTCATCAAGAACAGTTCCAAGCTGGATGTGTTGGTCCCAAATACATGAGAAAAAGTTTCTCCTTTCAAATCCTGAGGAAGCTGTGGCATTTCAGCCTGGAAAAGGCCCAGAAGAAAAAAAAAAACTTTTTTTGTTGAAAACCATTACTTCACATTTTCCCAAGTCTGTATTTGAAATAAACAAAAGCCTCTCTGTGAACCACCAGAAGAAACCCCTTTGATATATATGAAATGTAATTTGCCACAAATGAAATCCAAAACAATTCACAGTAGGAAACAAAAACAATTCACAATGACAAAATAATGCATCTTGATGACACCCATTAGAAGAAAAATGGGCCAAGAAGCTCCCCCAAAAGAGGATTTCTGTCCAGAGCTGTACATGCCTTACTGATACAGAAGGCCAAATAAGTACCACTCCATTAGAAGAAAGAAAGCAAGGGAGTGGAACTCATTCAAAATGCTTCCACGGTATTTTTCATCACCACTGTCAGAAACATTTTCTCAAGTTTCCTTTTTCCAACATCATGAGATAAGAACACTGGAACAGAGGTAAAGAGAGGTTAAGGTCCAGTTAATTAACATCCCGCAGCAATGACCTTGTCTGTCACGGGGGCAAGAGCAGCACAACAAGGCTACTGACGCTCTTCCCTCACCTTTCCACTGCTCAGAGGGACACTATGACAGACTAATGATATTCAACTCCACCATGTGGCATTCTGTCCACCTGACTAACAGTTGTGCAGTTGTCTCAACTTATTTATTTAAAGATGCATATATGAAAGCAGAGAAAGGTAGTATAACCTGTAGTCTATGTATTTAAATTCATTTTATCCATTGTAATTACTCCTTGCTATAAGTCCACTTCAACGAACTGGGAGCTTGAGGAGCCCTGCCAGTATTCCTAATTGAAAGCCAGATGAAATTTCAAAAACATAAAAATCCCATTTTCAACCAAAAGCCATTAATCTTCCTTGTTTGACTTACCGAGTATCTAACTTCCAAGTACTCGGATCTTTCTGGAACATCAGGTATCTCAAAAGCATAGTTCTTTTCCACTGCCTGGGCAAGTAGACATTTAAAAATCATTAAGACATCATTAAATCATTAAAAATCATGAAAAACTTCATAAACTAAATTGACAAGCATTACATACATACTGCATGATACGGTATTTAATCATTATGGAACACAAAGGAAAACAGAGCCAAAAAAGCAGCTTTTCCCCCTTTCAACTGGGACTAAAATACCTAGTGACAAAATGTTAAAAAGACTTACTGTGGACACTAGAGAACTTAAGAAATACTTGCATTCAGGAGAGGCAATAAAAGGGGGAGGGTATAGCTCAAATGGTAGAGTGCGTGCTTAGCATGCATGAGGTCCTGAATTCAGTCCCCAGTACCTCCTCTAAATATAAACAAATCAGTGAACCTAATTATCTACCCCCTCCAAAAATTTAAAAAATAAAAAGAGAGGCAATAAAAATTAAAAATTTTTACAATGTCGATGCACTAAAATCCATTTGCTATTCTTTGATACTAAGCAACTCCATCTTGCCAAAAAAAATAATAAACATTGGAATTATAGCTCATAGGTACTGAGTGCTTGCTATATATACATAAGGACTGTTCTAATTACCTAATATGAATTAACCGACTTAACCCTTTCAACAGCTCTTGAAATAAGACTCCATTTATCAGGTGAAGAAATGGGCCCAGAGAAGTCACTCATCACTTCATCACATGTCCAAGGTCAGACCAGGAAGTGGTGGGGCTAAGACTTAAAGCACAAGCACCTATACTCATCACTATTACACCACATTGCTTCTAGAATTTTAGACACTTGATCCATCAGCCACAATTCAAAGATCAAACAGTTAAGACAGTTAGCCTCATTTTCAGCAACTCAGTCCTCCCTTTACTACCATTACTGTTAATAGCCAGTGTGCTGTGTTGAGTTACAGCCCCCACAACGATGCCCAAAGGCATCAATATCTCATTAACATCAAGACAATTGATCAGTATGTATCACATGAATAGAAGAATTTTGTTCAATCAGAAATAGCATTACAGTCCCTGCCCTTTAAAGAAAAAAACTTACTTAACCTTCTGATCAAGACAACTTGGCAATAACTAATACAAACAAGATCAGAACAATTTCTTTTCCATTTTGGCATAAAAGCACAAGATACTCTTCAAGTAATGAAAGCAATTACTTTGCTACGAGTTATCTTTTTATTCAAATTAGTGAACATCATTTTATACACAGTTTAAAGAGTAATAAAAATATTTTTACAAATCTGACATACTGGTTTTATATTCATATCTATGGAATTTCCATTCAATAAATTATAGCCACACAGAAGGCATTTTGTACAAAGAAGACATGCAGTAACTTATTGCTAAATCAGCAAATTAACAAACTAATAAACAGTTAGAAAAAATTATCACCAAATACAAACCTTGGACTTGAATTTCATAATTTTGTATTTTGCTGCTACTTTTTCGTCAAATTCATCATAAACATCCTTCATTGTAACTGGAGTTCCTTTTTCTTTCCCTGTATTTAGATCAACTTTCTGCTTTCCCATGGAGAGGAGAGGGGAGAGGAAAAAAAGGTGTCTGTACATAAGATGTTTTCACCCACCAGAAACCCAAGTCTAAATCAATTTTCATCTTCACTCAAACATTTAATAGAACAAGGTGAATTCAAAGATACAAACAGACCCAAAAATGTACTAAATCCAATGCCCAATTCATCCCAGTGGCATCCTAAAAGCAAACCAGAGAGAAAGATGATCGATCCTACATAATGGGAGAATAGTGTTATAAATCCTGACCAAGAGCCTTTACAGTTCAACTGAAATGGGAAGGGGCTGGGGTCAAGAGGGGAGTGTGGATATTAAGTCCCAGTAAAAAGAAAGAGCAAACAAAACTGATCTTGTTGAAATGACCTTGTTAAATGGCCAGGGAGGACATGGCACTGTTGCCCGTATAGCAAAAGCATGAAAACTGGGCCAAACGCCACATCGGAATTTAAAGCCATATACTCCCAACCCGGATAATTATGGACATGGGGACTGGAGGGAAAAGATGGCATTATATACTAAAACTCGGGCACTCTGACACTCTTCCTAACAAGATGAAAAACAGTTTCACTCCATTTCTCTACTTCTCCCAATCTCTGATGGAGCCACTGACAATCAGTGGTCACTAGGCAGACAAGACAGAAGAAGCAAGGTTGTAGATAACCCTCAGCCCTGCTGAAGGACAGGGTTGGTGGCAGAACACAGAAGGTACTTGGAGTGAGAGGCTAATCATTAAGGTTTACCGTTTCACGGGGAAGGAAATAGAGCGTTCGCTCAATGTTTTTCACCATGACACAACAGCTCACATGAGTCTTGGCGAATTCAATCCAAACCTTGCCAAACAGAAATACCACACCTAAAAGAAGAAGGAAAAACTGAGAAAATAAACATTTCAATTATGCCTCACTAAAGGGACAATATAAAAGCTCACTAAATGTGTCCACACATTTATGCTTTCATGATAAGTCATTTTTTTACAGCAAATTTGTACCTGCTGTTCAATCCCCAAGACCAGTCCCTTTACTCAGTACTTATGTCACATGACAATATCACACCAGTAAAACCTGTGACCCCTGGGAGAACAGGGAACAGAATGTTTCTCTAACTTGGGAGAAACATTTTCCCTAGAATTCCCTAGAGAAACTCCAGGTAAATGGAGACAAACCTCAGTTATTAAGGAGACATTCCAGGCCTGAGTAGACACACCTGGGTAACTACTGAGACACCTCAGGTCAGTGAAGAAATTCTTGGGGAATTAGGGAGCCATCCCAGATCAATGTAGACATACTTCGAAAATTAGGGAGACATCCTAGATCAGTGTAGGGACAAAAAGAACATTTCCCCTAGAACCAGGATTACCCAGATTAAGAGAAACAAAAAAAGCAAACTATTCTCCAATGAATCTTATTTAAACCTCGCGTGAGTACTCTGAAAATACTAAATTCCTTTTTAGCACCTGTACTTACCAATAAAAATTAATATTCCAGGGTGGGAGTATAGCTTAGTGGTAGAGCACATGCTTAGCGTGCATGAGGTCCTGGGTCAATCCCCAGTACCTCCACCAAAAAAAAAAAAAATTAACATTCATGCGGAAGGATAACTATGCATGATACATCAGTATTCTTCTGTATATAAAATTGTGTTTGAGAAAAAATATAATTCATCTCATATCTTATTCCATGTAACAGTAAATATCTCCTGATAGGGTTCAACTATTATCTCCTATTTCATCCTTTCTAAAACCTCAGAATCCTTAAGACACCTGGCTAAGTAGTGTTTGTCATGTTCCTCTCTCTCTTCTATTTCTGTTTTAACAAACGGTCTAGTAACTAAGTCAGGAGTCAGGCTCCTTTTGAGATCCCTAAGTAATGTATACCACCAAGTAAAACCAAGACTTTCTGGACATCAAGTCATTGTTCATGAAAACTGGCCACCAAGAAAGGACTCCAGAAGTTTGACAGTCAATCTAAGAGACAGTCACTGTGCAAAATCCTGGGCTCTGTGAATAATTAGACAGCAGTAATCAACATAGCCACTCCACAGGGCCACTTGTCTGAGACACTAAGAAAATTCTGGCACATGCAAAGGCTACTGTTCACAAAGCCAATTACTCTAGCTTCACAAGATAGATCATCAGTGCTTCCTTTTGTCACTCATTCTAGTAGAAACAAGACCATCCAGAATTTTCATTTCTGCAGATGATTAAAATTCTTACAAGAGTTGGGTAATTTTCAGCTGGGGTAAAAGAGACGGGGGTAGGGGGAAGACAGGGGAGAGGGAAGGGAGGCCTGTGGGGATGATTAAAAAAGAAAAAAAATCACAGTAGCTCAGAAAATTAAAAGTCATCCTCACAACAGTTAGAGATGAAAAAATAAATCCCATGCAAAGAAAAATAAAGACCCTAATATTGGATTCAAAGATTCAAATAGCTCATTTTACAGTCAAACTAATATCACACTTCATGCAACACATTTGACACTGTTTATGCCTCATTTGCCACAAAAAGATCATGGTAAACAAAGATTACATTCCCCTTAAAGTTAGTAGCTGAAACCAGGTGCAGCCAGGATTATTCAACCTTGAAAAAGTCATAATGAAGACAGGATATCTTCCCATATGCAAAGAGTAAGATTCTTTTCATAATTATGGAGCATTCAGCAACAACTGACTTACTTAGAATCTGTAAGAAAGTGAGAAACAATAACAGAGTCTTTGGGAGTACTTCGTTTTTATTAGCACCATTGATTTCACCAAGGCTCAGTGATCATTACCTGCTATCATGATGAAACTGTTTAACCTTCTGAAAATGACAAGACTTTTTTTTTTAAAGCTGTCTTATTTAACCCGTTGGCATCAATCACAGAGGACACAACGGAAGAAGCACCACGGAACAGCAGAGCAGACTGAGGGTGAGAAGCCCAGAAGCCTGCCACGGACAAGCTGACCACTCTATCTTTTGGAGCCTCAGCTTCCTCCACCTTAAGTAACTAGAGCAGATCTCTGAGGCCTCCTTCAGCCCTAGAAATTTCCTTTTATTCGAGCAATTAGAAGACAGGCCAATAACAGACTAGTACCTCTTTTGACTGTAAAATACTTCCCAATTGTAGTTGAAAAAGTCCATCATGATGACGGTTAGTAGCAGAATTCAACAATACATGCCATACATCAGTTGCTTAGCAAATATAGACGTGCTTCAACGTGCTTCAATCTTAACCTCCAACATCCACTACTACAGACCAGCAGCAGCCGACAGACAGTTCTGTGACGACAGAATTCTTCTCCATCTGTGCCATCCATAAATACAGTAGCTACTAGCCACACGTGGCTACTGAGCGCTTGAAAAGTGCCTAGTGGCTGAGAAGCTGAACTTTAAATTTTATTCCACTTTAATTAATTTAAATTTAAAGAGCTGCATGTGGCCAGCAGCTACCATAGTGGACGGTGCAGCTCTAGACTCTTGCCCTGCAAAATGATGCTCTGTTTTTTGGTTAGAGTATCAACCAATAAACAATAGATGGAAACAGAAAACTCACTGTCACATAGGAAAGAAAGAGCGTTGCTATTTCCTCAAGTTCCCATTTTCGGCAATCTGATGCTATACATGCAGGTTTATGGGAAGGGGACCATCCTCTTCTGTGTTATCCATTCTTACCTCACATTGCTACAAGTCTTCGAGAGGCAAACTTGCTAATAGCAGCAAGTACTGGTTCTCTGAAACATTCCACATGTATCTACAGGACAGTCACTGTGCAGTTTATTTTAATGAACATTTACTGAACACCTACTGTGTGCCTGGCAGCATGCTGGATGTTGGAAAAAAGGTCCCAGCCCTCCAGGAGTTTAAAGGCTTTGGAGGAAAAGACAACACAGAATCAGATCTTTTCAAAATCATGACAGATGCCACAATGGGTAAGGGTATGATGGGGTCACAGAAAGGGCTCTTAGGCCATTTTGGAGGACCGGGACAATTCCAGGAGGTAACACTGAGGCCGAGTCAGGTGAGGGCATTCTAGTCAGACAAACACAGTGAGTGAAGGGATATGGTGTAAAGAGCAGCAGGTACATAGAGTAAACTACTTCTAGGACGCAAAAGTCCTTCACAGAGGGCAACAGAAGGCTTACTAAGGAACTGGGACTGTCTGCTGCAGGCAGCAGCCACTGCGGATTTTCTCCAGTGAGGAAATGACACGGTCAGTTACCCTCCTGAGCAGCTCAGCAGCAGTGAGGGGATGCCAGCTGAGGGTTCAGTCAGGAGGCTGGTGTCAATCGGCAAGGAGGGCTCAAGGGTGGGAGTTGTGAGAAAGAGAGGATAGCTGGTCTAGTTCAAGAGGAGAAAACTACTAAGGCTTGGTGAGGGAAGGAAGCAAAGGGGGGACCCAAGGCTGGCTTCCAGATTTCTGGTTTTGATAGGACCATTCATCAAGTCAGGGAATAAAACCCAGCGGGGAGCAGGCAGAGCAGAGCAGAGCAGCACTGGGATGCGTGGGCCCACCGCGTCACCCAGCTCCAGCCAGCATAGCCGTGCTTCGGGGAGGTCACACAAAGCCCGTGTGCAAACGGTGACCCTGAAGCTGTATGATGGGGCAGCCCTTGGTTTCAGAAATGGATGGGGAACAATCTGCAAAGCCTCGTGTAATCACATTTGCCGGCCTGTCTTGCACCAGCGAGTAACTGGCTTTCTGTGAGTCAGAATTCACCAAATCAGCTCATTCAGAGAAGGACTTGGAAATCAGCCTCGATCCCTCCTTTCCGTCAACCCCTACATCCATCAACAAGTTCACGTTAAAATACATGTTACAGGCGTTCACTTCTCTCCTTCACAGCTGCCCCAAGTGCATGTAACTGGCGCACCTGTCCTGGACCGACTGATCTCTAGGGCTCCCCAGCTCCTGCCCTGGCCACACACACACACACATACACACACATGCTGGTCTCCGCATAAACCAGAGGGTTCCTGTTAAAATGTAAACCCAACCAGGGATCCAACTCCACCGCCTCACCCCTCACCTTACACTGAAAATCCCCAACTGCCCCTACAACTACTCCTGGAAGATCTCAACTCCTTGACATAGCTTTCAAGGCCGTTCATTATCTAGCCTTTGCCTTTATCTCCAACTTCATTTTCAACCAATCTTGTCACTTATTACTCTGCTGCAACCACTCAGGCCCCCTCCTTTCTGTCTCCAGGCCTCTGCACTCCCTGGTTCCTCAGGCTGAGATGCTCTCTCCTCAGCTCTTAAAGTGCCTCAAATCTCAGCCCAAAGGTCATTTCCTCAGACATGCCTTCCCTGGCCATCCCCCAAATAACTGCCTTTTCACCGTTTATCAACTCATCCTTAGTTACTGCCTCTCTCTCCCACCCCACTAGAACGTAAGCTCCATTAGGACAGGGAATTTGTCCAGCTGGTTCACCCTACCTCAGACCCTGGCACACAACAGGTGTTCAAATTGCTGAAGGAACAAATTAATGACTGATTCCACTTAAAGTCAAGTGCATTTCAGTAAGTTCTAGATACACTGATGGTGAACTACAAAGCACACATTCCAAAACCACACATAACTGGTTTTCAGAACAAGCGTCTGCAAGGACTATTCACACCATAACTCCTCACCATTCGCGTGGCTCACACACTTCACAGTGACTGAGTGTTGCTCTCTTACTATACATGTACATAAAGGCAGAGGCTGTGCCAATTATAATCACTCAAGCACTTGAGGGAAAGGCACTGTTCTGTCGTAAAGACGTTCCGTTACCGTATGGATGATTACCTGGTTGGCTATACTGATCTTCATAAGCATCCAGCCAATAAAACTGAAATACTTGTTCATCGTCTGCCCCCTTCACCAGTGGGAGGTGACTGGAATCCACTTGAACTTCCGGGGCTGAGAAACTGCTGTCATCCTCCTGCTCAATGTCCCAACAAGAGACATCTGGGAGCAAATTTCCTCTGCAAGAAAAACATGTTTTTCAAAAGCCTTTCAAAATCCAACAGAATAACGGTAGCATTACTTGCCAGAGGTGATTAAAATGCTCTTACAAGTAGGACGTGGTCTCTTTCCCAGGATCAGCCTCCTGCTTCACCCCCTCTGCTGGCTCCCTCTCTTGGTCCCGAGTCTTGGCAGCCACAGGCTCCACATCCATCTCCTCAGCTTCCATGGGCTCATCAAAGTCACCATCTTCAAACTCCATTGCCCCAGACTCCTCGTCATCCGTGCGCGGCGCTGCCAGCTCCCCTGTGGGTGCTGTCACACATTCCCACCACGTGCCGCCGCTGTGGAGCACAGCAGCCCACCCCCTTCCCAAACTGTAACTGCTGTTCTCTTCACTCTCCAAATTGGACACCTTTAACTTTTCCTGCTATGGATTCAAATCCTTCCCAAAGAAACTGGCTCTCGCAGTCCCTTCAAATTCACCCACACTTCCTCCTTTGTGGGGCCCCCACCTTTGGATAGCCTTTGCAATTGCTTGCAATTCTGCCTGACATCAGACTTACCGGCACACTGCAGAGGGACAGGAGTTAACGAAGCCTCCTTCCTTGAGACCAGGGAAGCGGTTTTTCCTGAAGGAACTGCCTATAAATGTTTTTAAATGTTTAGTCACTTAGACCCGCACACTAAAAATACACGACTGTCCTACCCTGACCAGAGATAATGACAGCTCCCATTATAAAATGACTTTATGCATTGTTAATGTAATAGCTTCAATTATTTTACTGTTACCTAGGTTTACCAAAAAAACAACTTGTTTCCAGGAGGAAAATTATTGCATTTAGCACAGCTGTAATACCTATAATAAACACACACTAGTTACTACAAAATTTACTATGAAAAAAGCAGGCACATGCTATTTTTGAAACACATAAAACTATATAATGAAATGGAAGTCCTAATTTAAAACAAAATCAAGAACAAATTCAAAGGCATTTCCCTCACATAGAAAAGAAATAAAATAAGTTTTAAGCAATAATATAAATCAAGACTGAAGGTAATTCCACACACTATACCCTGGGGGTGTGCACAGAGAAAGGATTCGGTGAAGCTCCAATGGATCTTTTCTTCTTCGGTATTATTACAGGTGGTGGAGTTATCTGAGATGTCTAAGAGGAGGGATAACAGACATTCACTGCCATGCTTGGTTTACCAGGAGACAGAAAAAGTACATTTCTTCCCCCACTGAAGCCCAATGAGCAAAGCACTTTTTTTCCTTCCCCGCTTCCCCCATAGATCTATGTTCATGCAGTGAGGTTACTATAGCAACAATACCAGACTCACTTGAAAACCAGAATAGATATTGAATCCACTCCTCACTAATTTTTCCTTTTTAAAACTTAACATACTTCTTCCTTCCCCTTCCAGAATATTATGTTTAAAACCTGTCAACCTCGAGCTACACGGTGTTGGTGTTAGTCATTTTAATCAAGGGTCATTTAGAAATAAATGGGAGCTAAGTTTTTCTGTGAAACAGCTCAATTGCAAATTCCAGTACAGCTGAACCTGTCTGCGTTCTCTTAGGGACAGCTCACTGACTCTTCCTTCACCCCCACTCGGAATTCAAGATGAGGCTCTCACGCCTGACTGTGCAGACTGACAGGCTTCAATCTATTTCGGGAATATACACTGCAGCAACTGAGACAAAGCGGTGTGCCCTCCCAGGACTGAGCGTGTGTGGAGTCTGTTCTTATTACTGCAAGCACAGCCCCATGCAGCCCAACCTACACGATCACAGAGCCTTGAACAGCCGAAAACAACGACTTACCTAAAGTGGTGAGAAGAAACCAATTTGAATGGCTTGGTTTTGGTTTTTGGGGTGTTTTGTTTTGTTTTGGTGGTGGTGTTGTCATTGAATTTTTTGTTTTCAATTCTAGCAATAGTCTGTTTTGTATAATCACTGAATTGTTTCTTCAGCCCATGACCCCTGTATATTTAACAACTCCCGGAGGTTCACTTACTTCAGTGTTCAGATCCTGGAGAATGTCACCTAACAGATCATCCTTGGACAAATCGACAGCTTTCTGGAAATTATAAAGGCAAGTAGAATGAGAAAGCTGTGCACTTTGCATTTTCACCCAGACCACTAGTCTGTGAAAGGAAGAACCTATAACCAGTCAGCCCCGCCTCTCCACTCCTCTAATATCCCTAGGTCTTACCAACCAACCGGGTACACCTAACCCCAAAACCCGAGCCCCTGGCCTCTGTTTTCAGCCTCATTCCGCGATCCTCCTGCTAATCACCAAAATAAACACTGTCAGTCCAGCTTTTCAGTTCAGTTTTCTATCTCCAAGTCACGAGCACTGAGGTGCCTCAATTCACCTAGAAATCGACATCCAACTAAGTGACTGAGAATGGGAAAATATTACTCAAAAATGTGAGTTCAAACATACTGAGCACTTATTATCTGTATAATCAAATGTTAAATATAATCAAATATCAAACACCAATCTAGCCTGGAACCAGGGCACTAGCCTAGCAGCCTTCATGAGATCACATTTTTAGAGCTACAGGGAATCTGACAGGAAAAGTGAACTACGAAGAACAGGAATCTTTGCTTCACAAAGGAAGAGACAAAATATGAGAGAACAAGGAGACTCACATCTGCCATCTTCCTCCCAGCACTGGCCATGAACATGGACTTGATATTGTTCGGTTTTGTCACCACGGCCTTCCTGACATTCCTCTTGTCCGTGTTGCGTGCTTTATCATCTTTTCCTGCTGGAATAGAAATTATTTAGAAACACGCACCAGCAAAAATCAAAATGGAAAATCAAAAGCCTCGTCATCTGCCCTCTGCATATGAGAATTTGACAAGAAAAATGTTAAAAATTCAAAATACACAGCTATGAGATTTTATGCAAGGTACACAGGAAAGAATCTTTAAAATGAGCTGAGTTCAGGAAACTTGGGCTAAATGTTACGACAAAAACTGACAAAATGGCAGTTTAATATCAAGATGACTTATTAAGTGTGACTGCTTAATTGCTATTGTTAATGTGAATAAAAAGCTTTTTAAAAGGTGCAAGTTTTTTTTTCCCCACAGAAATCAAAGATCAAGCTCATGTGGAACCAGGGGGTGAGCCTCACAGCCTTCATGAGATCATCATTTTAGTGCTATATTGAATCTGACAGGAAACTGGGAAACTGAACTATGGAGAAATAAGACGACCAGTTAACGATATTGTAGAATTCTAACTGCAACTTTATGAGGAAAAGTAACTAGACACACACAGCACGTCCTAGCAACACTAGCAGCACAGAGACATTTGCTCAGTAAAGAACAACTTGTGCCATATGTTTTCTCTAACAGCCACGTGGAAACCACCTGTGAACTCCTCTACTGCTGTCAGTTTTACTCTCGCTTTCTTACTCAACCCAGAGCAGTCTCCACCCAAAAAAGGCCTGGAATGAATAGTTAACGGTAGTGTGGTAGCGGCACAGAAGTATACAGACCAGATGAAACAGAATATGGAGTCCAAAAAAAGATTCAATTACTTATGGAAATTTAGCAGAAAATAAAGATGACTTCTCCAATCACTGGGGAAAAGACAGACTTTTTAATAATTAGTTGGTTACCCATTTGTAAAGAAGTAAACTAGTATAAACACCAAACAGATCACAGATCAAAAATTTAATGAATTCATATAGGTACTTTAATAAAAAAGACAAATTCCTTGTAACTTGGGTACGAGAAAAGTTTAACTATAATTCAAAATCCACCTATAAGAGAAAAAAAAGGGATTGATAAATTCAATTATACCAGAAACAAGGAGAAAAATTTTGCAGTATGTTTTGCAGAGAAAAAAAACAATTCCTTGATATTTAAAAAAAGGCCAAAAACCCAAAAGGAATGTGGGCAATAAACACGAATATACAGCTCAGATTAAAAAATATATATAAACTGCTATTAAGTTTTATGAAAAGATGCCCAACTTCATGTGTAAAAGAAATGCAAATGGAAAACATACTGAGATGTCATTTCTCACATATCAGAGTGGCAAAAATGCAAAAGCTTGTAACACACTGTTGTGAGGCCATGGGGTCCAAACAGACACTCATGTTGTTCATGGGAATGTAAAGTGGGGCAACTCCCATGGAGAAGGATTTCGCAGTATCTCATGAAACTTTAAGGTGCATGAACTGTCTGAGCCAGCAATTCTACCTCTAGGAATTTCCCCCGAGGAAAATACCACATACATAGTTATTCAATGCGGTATTATGTGTAATAGCTAATTACTGGAAATCTAAATGTCCATTAAAGAAAACCATTGAATTAACCATGGTACATCCATACAGTGGAATACTATGCAGTGATATGGAAATGAGTAAGAAAGAAAGAAGGTTCTCTATGTGCTGATATGAAGTGATTTTCAGGATGTCTTATTAAGTGAAAAAAAAAAGTACAGAAGTATAGAAAACATCTTTTGTGTAAGAAAGATAAGGAAATAAAAACACATATATATAATTCCATTTCTGGATACATGCTCAAAAGAATTGAAAACAAGTGTTCAAACAAAAATTGGTACACAAACGTTTATAGCACTGTTCACAGTAACCAAAAGGTGGAAACAACTCAAAGGCCCACCAACTAATAAATGAATAAACAGAACGTGGTCTATCCATGCAACAAAATAGTATTCAGTCCTAAAAAGGAACATACTAAGTCCTGCCACAACATGAATTAATTTTGAAAACACTGTACTACATGAAACAGGCCAGACACAAATGGTCACATATTGCATGATTCCAACTGTATGAACTATTCAAAATAGGCAAATTCAGAGACAGAAAGCAGATTAGTAGTTGCCAGGGGCTGAGGGAAGGGAGACTGGGGAATGACTGCGAGCTTAATGGGTATGTGTTTCCATCTGGGGTGATAAAATGTTCCACAACTAGATAATGGTCATGGTCGCAAACACTGTTAATGCACTGAATATCACAAATGATAAATTTTCTGTTATGTACTTTTCATGGGCCTAAGACTCTGAAAAGATTTGTAGGACATCTGTAAAACATGTAAGAGAGGAGAATTTAGTTTTTCAAAGAGATCATTTGGAGCAGTTTGAAAAGAGAATACAAGTAATGGTCAAAATGCTTTGTAAACAAAATTCAGGTGCCAATAAAGAATATCAAAAGAGAAGGTCAAAGAGGTTTGACTGGAAAGGAGGCTTCATTAACGGGCTTTAATCTCACCATTGCAGGTTAGTACGATTTAGATAGAAGGACAACAGGAAACAGAGAAAGAACACAGGTTGACATTTATGATGAAATTCTTCCACAATTTCAGTGCTTGTTTTTATTTTTTTTAATCCCTTACCACATTTTGGAGGAGGGGGGTCATTAGGTCTATTTATTTACTTATTATTAGTTTTTTGTTTGGTTGGTTTTGATGAAGGTACTGGGGATTGAACTCAGGACCTTGTGCATGCCAAGCATACACTCTACCATTTAAGCTATACCTTCTTCCCATTTTGATTTGTTTTATTCGTTTCCCACTGATTTTTCTTCATTGGGATTTAGTTGGTATTTTTCTATCTCTGTTCAAAAACAACAGGCCAGAGATTGGATCTACACTGTGAAGGGTTGACCTTTTACTTCAAGGCAGAACTCTACAATTTCTTCTAAGTGTTTAAAGTGGACTGCAGAATTCCATTTCCCTTCCAAAGATCTTGGGACCTGTGGGCTCCTCGGGAAGGACACAGAAACAGTGGGGGCGTGGGCGAATGGTGGCAAAGCACGGAATAGATTTCTCAGACCAGTTCTCCTTCAGAATGTCAAGTCATTCTCATCACTGATGTATTAGTGGGAAGCTATAACATAATGATTATAGAGACACAGAAGAGGGGAGGGTATATCTCAACTGGTAGAGTGCATGCTTGGCATGCACAAGGTCCTGTGTTCAATTCCCCAGTACCTCCTCTAAAAATAAATAAATAAACAAATCTAACTACCTCCCCCTCCGCAAAAAAACAAACAAAAAACATAAGGATTATAGAAACAGAGATGGCTCATTTCTTCAATGTAATACTGCATATTTTCTTTGCGCCTGCTATTGTGATCAGCACTGACCAGGACATCGGTCCTTTCCTCGAGAACCTTCCTGTCCAGTCCAGCTTCCTAATTTACAACTGACAAAACTAATATCCAGTCAGGTGATGACACTCAAGATGATAAAATTAACAACACAACCAGAACTCGAACACAGGCCTCCTCAGTTCAGGGACGTGAAAAAGCACATAGGCTCATTTCATTCACTTCTTCATGGACTCAGAAAAAGCAGGAATACACCACTAGCCACACTGCTATCAAATGGTAGGTACCAGTGTGTAGAGTCCCAATATAACACAGGTTAGCAGAAACCAGGAAGATGGTCCACATATTCTAATTTAACTAATGAATGAATGAATGAATAACATCCCACATGAAAAAAATATACATCCTTATTTTCTGTGAAAGGAAACACAGAAAGGATAATCAGAAACTAATAAAAAATGGTCACCTATGGAGACGAGGAGAAATGAAATAGAAAGCATACGGATGACAGTAAGGTTTATCTAGTCTGTTTCTTGATCGTATTCTGATTTTTAAGCCATAAAAATGTTGTACAATAGTCAAAAAAGAAAATGAAAACAAAGGGATATTTTTAAAAACCTAAATTTGAATACAAACAAAAACAAATGAACCTGTGCTGTAAACTGACACTGTAGCACACAGAAACGAATGACTTCATGTAGCTTCTGAACACAGTACTCTCACAGTACACCCTCAGATGGATATGTGCCAGGAACAAATAAAACTGCAAAAAAATCGCAAACTTTACTTATAAAGGTTGCTGGGAGAGGTATGGGTTTAGAAAACAATTTTAAAATTTCTAAAATCATTTTGTGCATATTTTCAGAGACAAGAGTTTTCACTGGGGGTGAAGACAAACACAAACATAGACTGGGGAAGATGGACAAACACCCTGTGGTGTTACAAGTGAAGCAAGTGTGTCACTGTGAATTCATGGCATACATGTATATAAAATCTAGTTCTGTTCACTGAAAGGGCTGAGAATCCATTATGTCCCAGTAGCAATGAGCACATCCCTCCCCTAGATATGAATACCATTCTCCACTAAAAGGAACTGTGATGCTTAGGAGAAGTGGCTGATTCCAGGTCTGGGACAGGATCATACAGACAGAACCTAGAATATCTTGCTGGCCCAGAAAGCAAGGAAATGCTCAAACACTGATGGGGCCATATCAAAAGGACACAGGAGCCAGCTCAAAGGGGCTCCCACTGCCAAATTTGGGATAATTTGAACATCAGAAAGAATAAGGATGATAATAGATACAGAACTCTAACAGCAGTTTTATTTAAACCCATGAGTTTGAAGTGTTAATTTAAAAAAAGGAGAAAAAGGATCATCCATAGACGCTGAAAGCACTGAGTAAAAGTTGGTGGGGAAAAGGGATATACACATGGTCTCAAAATATCACCCCTGTGTGCATTAATTACAAAGGCGGAAAGGTAGCTTTCCAAGGAAGAGATCTAACAAACATCATCTTAAACCACATCAAACTTAGCATCACCAGTAATGGGACATATTGACCTTATGTGCCCCTAAGGCGATCATTGGGAAAGACACGGCTTCATCTAAATTATATTTTTGTCACACTATTTAACCTGACTCTAAGCACAAAAAAGCACTCAGGCAAATCCCTGACTGTGACACATTGAACAAAACCACCAGCTTGGTCCCTTTAAAAATGTCCATGTCACAAAAGACACTGGGCCAGAGAGGGAGAAGAGGGATGGTGCTGTTCTACACTAAGTAAGACTAAAGAGACATGTAAACTCAAGGATGAGGCATTTTTTAAAAAATAGCTACAAAAGACATCACTGGGCTAACTGGGGAGATCTTAATGTGGATGATATATTACATGATATCACGAGAACGGTACTGTGGCTAAGCAGACAAGTGTCCTCATTCTTAGGAGCTCACTGCTGAAGCACGCAGAGGGGAAGTGTCATGCTTTCTCACTTTCAACAAATTCACCAAAACCAGTCTACGAGTATATGTTTGGGAAGGGGAAAGAGGGAGAAAGTAAACAAATGTTGTAAAATGTTAATAATCTACAAATTAAGGTCCAGACTTATTGAAAAGGGTTTTAGGCTTTGTGGCCACATACATCTCGTTAGCTGCTGCATATTCTTCTTTGCATGTTTTTTTCTTTCCTTTCTTTAAATGCTCTTTAAAAATGTAAAAACCATTCTTAGCTTGAGGGCTATACAGTAACAGGTATGATTTCCTTCTGAGGTAATGAAAATGTGAAACTGATCGTAGTAACAGCTCTACCACTGTGACAATACTGAAAGCCACTGAAATGTTCACTTTAAATAGGGGAATTGTATGGTATGTTAATTATATCTCAATAAAGCAGTTCAAAAATAAACGGGCTGTTAGTGGGCCACAGACTGCTGACCAGTAATCTACCAGCTGGGGCAATAATGAACTAAACCAGAAAAAAAAATAAATACTGAAGAGAATTTCCCCCTCTCATTTTCCAGGAACTAAATCAGGCTTGTTTATTCAAAAAACAATTTTTTTGCCAATGATCGTATAGCTAAGAAAATCTGACACATTCATTCACATCATTTTAAATTTTAATTAAACAGCTAGTTGATATCTGTAAGTTCTAAACCTTCTTATTGTACTATACTTCTATCAAAGAGCTAAAATTCTAAGTAGATCACTAATTCTTGCAGCCCTCAAAATCAGCAAGTTTACAATGACCACAGGATTGAAAATTCCAAAGTGAGTAAAAGATTAAACTCTTTGGATAACAGAGAAATGAAACTTCATGTCCTGGTATTGCTTTCGCTTTTCACGTTTAATCTTCTATGTAACTATGCTTCTTCCAATATTAGAACATTTTCTATACTTAAAAACAATTGTTGTTGGTCCTTTTTCCTTAAAGAAACTGTGTCAAAGTACCAAGTCATCTGAAATTCTAGACAATTAAATCTCTAAATGGCACTCAAAAACAAAATGCAGGTACCTTTCTCATGGGAATCAAGGGCATCGTCTTCAAGGTCATCATCAAAAATCTCTCGGCCATCCTCCACATAGCCAATACCATCTGCAGGAACCAAATTTAATATTGAGATCAAATTTCTGAGAGTGGCAAATAATATTATAGCCATGACAAAAAGATTAAAAAATCCTTTTATATCCACTCAGATGTTCTCCTGGCCCATGCCATTTTTAAGTGCAGCAGAATCCTATTCAAGCAAGAATCAGATGAAACATAGCAACCACATGGGTTTTCTGAGTCACAACCAAAGGATATGCAGATGACCCTTGAACAACGCAGGGGTTAATTCACATATAACGTAGAGCTAGTCTTCAGTATTCACAGTCCCCCCGCATATGTGGATATAACAAACCACAGACTGTGTAGCACTGTAGTATTTACTACTGAAAAACAGCCCGTGTAAGTGGAACTGGGCAGTTCAAATCCACATTGTACAAGGATCAACTGTGTACTATACCTATTTAGGTGAACTATAGAAGTAATTTGGCCTAAAGGATCAAAGTTTGCCGTGATAAGATGCTTTACAGTAGCTTTACTCTACCAGAAGAATAAAAAGTAAAAGAATCAGTATCACCAGAAGTCCAGAAAAGTGCCTAAGTTTACGAGGGAAAGCTAGCAACATACCTGAGTCCAATCATGAACTACTTATTATTTATAACTTACACAACTGATTTCTTGAATATGTGTAAGCACATTTGACTGTCCTTAATGACTGGATTACTGCATTCTGTTGATTCTTATTTTGTGGTTGGCTTTATTCCTTTGATAACTATGTAAGTTTAAAAAGCTAAAGCTCTAAACTGTCTTAGAAACAATAATCAGTACATATATGTTAACTAAAAGAAATGTGTGCAGTATATTATACATACGTATTCACATGCAATATATTGTACATGTGCAAATTTGAACAATTCTACCTAATAAAACTGAAAGAAAAAATATAAAAATATGGGGACCAGCCTCCACCTGGGGCTTCCCACTGCCCATGGTACTCTTTACAAGTACAGCCACATGTAATCCTCACAGCCATTCTGTGAGATAGTTTTTCTTATGCCCACATCACAGGGTACTGAGTCCTCCCAATTCCTACGGTCATTTCCTGGCGGATTGATACTCCAGCCTGAGGTGTGTGCCCGGCTTCTCCAAAATGCCCCTCGATCAACTTTCTACTGTTCTGCTTCTACACTCTCAAATCATGCATTTGAGGAAAACCCAAACCGAAGGGATGATCTTAACAGTGCCTTCCATCTGCCCACGCAAAGCGGCGACTCCACTGCATGAGAATCTACGCACAGCAACAGACATGGCGCCTGGCGGGCGGTCTCTTCCCACATACCGTCATCCACGATCCAGTCATCATCCTGGCGGGCCTGAACCAGCTTCGAATACTGTTCTTCATCGACTTCTTCATAAACACTTGTGAAGTCCTCTACCTGCCATCATATAAGTTTGAGAAAGCTTCCAGTGGAGTGAAAGTGTTAAACAATTCTGATGAAAAAACTGTCAAATTCAAAGAGGAATGGCAGCCTGAAGGAGTAGCTGCAACCAAATTATGAGTTCTGACATTCAACACCACTGCAGGGTTTTCCTTAAATAGACATCAATTAACTTAGTATTCCTTTTAGGTGGGTGTTAACATAAGATATTAAATGATTCTATTAGCATAATACACTTGTCACACCATCAATTACTCATCTACTTCATAAAAAACAAACTGAATTATAGCCAATTCTTCATTAGCTGCTTTGGGGATTATTCACTTGTAATTTCTAGACTGGTTTCTCCTATACTTAGCAAACCTGTAAGACATGCCATCCACCTCTCCACTAGCTGACGGTGCCCTACAAATAGACAACAGTCTTAATAACTGTTCAACCAAACCAAATGGAATTCAAAAGGAAAATCTCCCCCATCCATCACCCTCCAAAAGTCAGCAAAACAAACACACTCTGTTCTACAGGTGCACTAGGAACAGGTTTTGAGAGATCCCCATTTGCATTACCACTGACCCCCCATCACTCTCAGGTCTTGAACACTAAGCTATTTGAAGGGCAAGTGCAGAGACAGTGGCAAGGCCTGCAATCACACGGGCTGCCCGACAGCCAGGAGGCCGGAGCACCATGAACTACTGGCACAAAAAGAGCAGACCATCTCAACACAGTGAAAGCAACAAACGGCACACACACCTCTGCCGCGGCTGCCGTGGAGACAGGCCGTTACCGTCCCAGAGGGGATCTGGTGGGCTGGGGAGCAAGAACTCAAGAGACTTCGTTAAAAATCCCCTCTTCTCTTGAGAGTTCTGCCTTTTCAAGTAGGGAGTGGAGGAAATGACCAATTCCACCTGAAGAGCTAAGACTCCAGGAAAAAACCCTTGGACTCAGCTTTGAGAGCCTTGTTGGGCAGGGCTGACTGGATTTCTGTCACACTTCCAGGGCTTATGATAATTACAGGATTAGGCTTAGTTTTTGCCTCCTGCTTAATCGACTCTACGGGATCCCTAGCAAATACTGATTTGGCCTTTCAGCACCTGGTAACAGAAGTTACCTGCCCTACCAAATTAAGTTTTGGGACAACCCAAACAGAAACTGGTCCAATTAATATTACTGTACTGACCAACTCTCTTTTGAGGGGAGAGGGAACTGGCAAAGTTATTTTTGTTGGCTGAAGTCTATAAGGCATAACCCGTCTCTCATTTCAGCAACTCACTTATATGCTACCAAAAAGACACCAGAAAATTATTTTTTAAAAACATCTTAAGTCATTTTGACTCAATCTCTAAAAACATTGCTACTGCTCAGCATGAACTCTTAGAGCCATGCCATTAACATCAGTGATTAATGGGAAACCAGTCACATTGTGTCAACATCTGAAATGCCCCACCGAACTTCTTTATAGAAGCTTCTACATTAAAAATGGTTTATTCCTGCTTAACTGTAATCCTTTTAGCCACCCTTTATGATCTGGTTGACTCACTTAACTTGAATGAATGGTGCCAAATGATAAAAATCCTCTTCTACTTGTCTAATAGCCCAATACAGAATAGGCCACAGCTAAATATGCACATTCAGAAGCCAGGCTCCGCCACTGTGACCTCAGATACCTCACCTGCAAAATGCTGCTAATCATAGTACCTAACTTTGTATGGTTATTGGAAGGATTAAATAAAGGAACATATTTGTAAAAGCACTTAGAACAGTGTCAGCTGAAAAACTGCATCTGTTATGTTTTGTTATTATTATTTTCTGGTATTAATTAATCACTTCCAAGCCCTGAGGCAGTTAAGATTCTCAAGGCACACTGGAAGTGAAGCTAGACAATGTTGTATGGATGGTAACCACTCTGCTTTTCTACTTGCAGGCCATCAACAGTGGGTAGAGGACAAGAGCCAAAAGTGCATCACATTCAATCCCACATGTAGGACATAGCGGAGGGAGGGTCCAAGCCCCCCCCCCACCCCGTGCTTCCCTTGCATATGAGATTAGGAAGAATAATTCTCTCCAAGGAGAAGCAATGTTTAGCTAGACTGCTCAAAACCTTCTGAGTAAAGAAAAAGCATCTCTAAGTTCCCTCAACAAAGCCACGGAACTTAGCAGAGATAGAGTGTGCGTAATAATGGGAAAAAGTATACTTACTTTCATTTCAGAATTTTAAAAGCATCTGTAAAGTGCCTTACAGGAACTTTAAGGGTTGAAAAGTCTCCTATAACCTGGAAATCTACCTCAGGCCCAAGTGTGTTCAACATTAAGGAATTACTATAAGAAGCTTGAAACCTGCATATTTCTAATCAGTGACAAAGTTGACATAAGATTACCTACAGGCTATGAATTAGATAAAGCACAAGAGGAAAAAAAACAGAAAAATGGTTACTTACTTCATATTTATACTTCTCACCAGCTTTAGCCCTTTTCAGTCTTTCTAGAGCTTCCTGCCGCCCTTTCTTTGATTTCTTTTCTCGCCGGGATCGAGAAGCTACAAAACTCCCTGAATCAGACACAGCTGAAAAAAAGCCAAATTTACACGAGACATTACAAAATTGTCAGCCATCTTCCTTCAAAAACAAAGCAACAGTTTTTAGCCAATAGTAATATACAATTTTAATGTTATACAAATGGATGCTTTTTATAATGTAAATAAGTTCACAAACTCATGGCTGAATCTGCAGTTCCTGTGGCTCTTCAGAAATCTTCAGCTTGAAGCAACTGTTATTTTTTTTCCTCCAAAAAGAGAACAATTCCAAATTCAACCGATATCCCCTGGAGGCACTAAAGAAGGGCGATCTGCCATTAGTCCATAACCTTTCCATTAGAAAGCATAGGCTACAGTAGTTATAAAAGGACAATTCATTTTGTATTCTATTAATCAACATTTGAAAGGCTTTAAGGAGCACCTGCTCTTTGCAAAGTACCAGGCGCTCTGCGAGACTTACAGATAAGAAAGGCACGTCCGCAGTCACAGTATTTACAATCTGAGATGAGAGATACCTGGCATACCTCGGAGAGACTGCCGGCTGGGTTCCAGATCACCACAATAAAGTGGCTTCCCAGTGCACACAAAAGTTCTGTTCACACTAGACTGCAGTCTATTAAGGGTGCAATAGCATTGTGTCTTAGAAAACAATGTACATACCTTAACTAAAAATACGTAATTGCTAAAAAATGCTGACCATCATCTGAGCCTTCAGCAAATTGTAGCAGTAACATCAAAGATCACAACAAATAATGAAAAATTTGAAACATTGTGAGAATTAACAAAATGTGACACAGGGACATGAAGCAAATGCTGTTGGAAAAATGGCACCAATAGACTTGCTTAATTCAGGGATGCTACAATCTTCAATATGTTTAAAAAAAAACCACACAATAAAGCCAAGTGCAGTAAAACAAGGTATGCCTGTAATTAGCAACTAACTCTAAAACTATTTTTAGAATACACGCCCGCCTGAACAGAGCCCGCCTGAATAGAGGTTCAGATACAGTATCTGGAATTTCAAAGGAAAGGTAAGTTTGGGGTTGGGAGAATTTCACCAAAATGGCTCTGAGGAGATTCTTGATTCCACCACTTATTTCCAGGCCTCATGCAGTTGGTTATGACATTACAGGATGATGGAGAAAAATGACAAAGATTAAAATGAGTTTTGTGGAAAATTACTGAAATACCAGAGAGCCTCAGTGTTCATTCATGCAACTTCTGAATTACTCATGCTTTTGGTCATCATAAACTGACCAACTCACACACATCACACATACTGAAAAGATTTTCATCCACAGAATGAAGACTTTCATTTACTAGCTGTTGAATAACCAAGCCAAGCAAGACAGTACCACCTACCAGCCCTGAGTTGAGGCTTAGCACAATCGCCACCTGTCTTGGGAAATTGAGTATTTTATTGTAAATTGAATATTTTTATTTAGTGCTAATTACTTTATAAAAAGGAGTAGACACAGAAAAGGAAAAGTTTTGATAAGAGGCATCCTAAAAACTCTAACCTCAACAGGAACGTCCATAACATTAAGCTGTTTAAGTGTTTGAAATAGAGGATGCATTTTACAGAACATGTACCAAATGCTGGGAATAAACTATTGAAAACTATAGCTTAAAGGTAAGCGATAATTAGAGATCTTACTTTTTTTCTAGGTTTCTGGAAATGGAGTCTCTCTTTATAACATTTCAGTCTATTGTTTGACTTTCACATCTGACTTTTAATTTTAAATCCATTTTCAGAACAGCATTAAGTAAAAATTCAGGAATGCAAGTACTTAATGATGACAGCCACAAAAATCTTTGAATGTCACTCAAATGATTTCAAAAAATCATGAGCTGGCCTATACAAAAAGGTTTCAGAGATTACTGAACGTGACCACTCAGAGTGAAAAGCTGGCCTCAGCGTATTCTCTTCAAGACTCCCTTGTCAGATTATCCTGACAAAATCTATGGGTCCTCAAATAGACCGACTCCACAGGCAACTATGTGCCACTCTAAGGGTTGGGGGTACAATTACAAATAAGACAGAGTTGCCTTTCCTCAAGGGACTCAGTCAACGAAAGCAAGAAGACCTGAGGCTCCCACCATCATATAAAGATGGTGCCATATAAGGAAGAACACGGTACTAAGGAAACAGAAAAGAGCTAATTTTGCCTTGAAAATCAGGGAAGGCTTCGCAGGGGAGGTTTCTGACACAGAAAGAGTAGAATTTCACCATCAGTGGCACAAGCAAAGGAAAAGGCACGAGCCAAATTACAAAGGGATGAAAATGCAAAGTGTATTCAGAAATCGAGATGAAGTCAACGTGGAAGGTAAATTGAACAGGAGGGCGTAGAGTGCGTGGGAGAACAGGAGATTAGGAAGGGGCAGCACAACCAGGCTCTGCCACTTACTGGGGGACATGAGACCACCGGTTAACCTCTCTGAGCTATGGCGGCCAGGTGTCCTGCTGTTGTTTTTTAAGCTGCCCAGCATTTGAACCCATCTGTGAAATCCCACCACCCTCCCCATGAGTCTTGATGGGACGCTGAGCCCATGTCCCACTGCAGCAGCTGAAAAGGCAGATGATCTTTCCCAGAGACCCTTGCAGCCAGCAGACGGGCATAGGAAACAGGCCTGCTGATTAGGAACACCTGCTCAGACTTTCAATCAGAAGCTATGTGACAAGGAAAGGGGGCGGGCCAAAGGCAGGTTCTTGAAGTAGCAACAGCTTCAGGTTTCAGTACCTAGATCAACAGCGCCCAGCAATGTCCCAAGGTACAAGCTCCAACTTCAGATACTTGGCCATGGTTGGCAACAACCTCCTCAATGGACCAGTTTTGTGGCATGATTTTAATTACTATTCCTGGCGAAGCAGCTCTCAGACTGGCTCTCCAGTCCTCCTGGAGCTTCTGAACACAGTATCCTTCTAAAGAGTTCCTTTTCTATTTAAATCAACTAGAGTTGGTTTCTGTAGCTTACACCTAAGGACTCTGATTAATGCAGAGCCTTAGGGTCCTCATCTGTGAAATGAGGATAATCATGTGTGCTTCATTAAGTTGTTAAGGATTAAATGAAGATGCCTGACTTACTTTGCACTCAGCAATATAGGAGAAGGGGTGGGGGCAGTGTGTGTGGTAGGTGTGGGTGGGTGTGTGTGTGTGTTCATTCATTCACACACACACACCCCAACCACCCTCAGCATTAACATTCATTAACATTTGCTTCTAGAAAGCAAAAATAAAGCAAAGCTGTTTTCTCAGAGATGCCTCAATACAGCACTGCATATAATAATGTTTACCGTCTCAACTCCACAAAGACAAAAACCAGTCCAGCCTACCTCCCAATGTAACACCAGAGCCTGATGGAATGCCCATAACTAGTAGGCACACAATAAATACTTGCTGAATGAACCACTGTACCTGCTTTCTTTTAATCATCAAACTCTCCCTGATCCATTTTCATATACAATAACAGCTAGTTATAGACCATCTTGTAATACTTAAGGAGGAAAAAAGGCCTAAATTCTCCTTTTTGGAGTATGTTTCTAATGCTTCAAGTAGGTAAGTTAGCAAAAAATAAGCATGAATAAAATCCGGTTACCAAAGTTTAAATATTTGGTTCAAAATTACCCTCTGGAGTATCCCCATCCCATCCCCGCAACAAGGCAGACACTAGCTTGCAATGGCCTTTCAGGTAACAATCTTTCAAAGTCAGCTCTAAAGGAAAAATTTCAGTCACAAGTCCCCAGCCACTACTTAATCAACACCATGACTCAAGAGGGATCTCAAGATTGCACAGTACCCTCTGAAGAGTGATTTCTTGAAGTTCACGGATGACGCGTATAGTTTTCAGGGTGAAGAAAGGGCTTAGTGGCACATCACTGACGGAAGGCTGCAAAGACTGTTCACATACTCACATCCTACACTCCTTTTGTAATCCAGGCTAGTCGACTCTCCAAAAGAAATTGTCTTAAAGAACCAAAGGCTAGATGAACAAATTGAAGTCTGTGATTCACAACTAGGTGAATGCAAAGGAAGCTGATTAGGAAGCAAGTTCTCATTAATGGTGATGTAACTGAGTGACAGGAGATGTGACGCTTGAGCTGTAAGAGTGAAGCATCTGATTCTAAGTTAGAAGTTCACTGAAGTTAAGTCACACTTTAGTAGAACCCTCCTCAAAAATCAGAAATCAGACAAATCTATTTGCATTTTTCTATTCTATTTTTGGAACTAGAAGATTACCACTGAAAATGGAGTAATACAGAGAATCTGAAATGCTGTTGAACTGACGCGGTTTTTTTTAGAAGCTTCACCAGAGATGACTAGATTGTGAACACTATTTCTATGCGGCACTTGAAGAACTTTCCACAGAATTTGAAAGAAATATTGTTAATACATAAAGTAGAAACCCATTACCTAAAAAGACAAAAAACATATGTATCTTTAGGTGACGGCACTTAGAGCTTGCTTTCCTGCTTAACTACGTTGTGTAACAATCTTCCCGGCAGTTTCTATACAAGGAAGGGCGCACGTCCGTTCTGTCCCAGCCCTCAAGCGGACACCTGGGGCTGGAGTAATAAAATACTTTCAGCCAAGACTGTGCCCCACGGGGGTCAGTCTCAGGAAGGTGTGCCCAGCACGTGGGATGAGACTCACCAAAAGAAATAAAAAGAAAGGCAGGCAAGTGTGGAGACCCACAGTAACAAGAGGCGAAGTAGCCTCTCAAACAAAAAGCCCCGCAGGGGTTGCTCAGGTATGCCAGGACCCAAGGGCCCTGCAAAGAAGCCCTGTCAGATGCCTAGTGCGTCCCAACGCTGGACGCCTGAGGTACGCGCCCAAACGAACCCGCGGGGAAACCCGGGCGAGCGCACCCCTAAGAAGAAATAAAAGAGCCCCCAAAACTCGCATAACACTCCCAACCCGGGACCCCGCGCGCGGGGACGTCCCTCACCGCTCGACCCCAGCTCGCAGTCATCGCCGTGCACGGGCGCCATGGTCCCGGAGTCTCCCGATTCCGCGCCAAGCAGCCCGAAACTGGCGCCGGGGCCGACACAGGCGCCAGCCTGAAAGCCAATCAGCGGCTCCCCAGCCTGCGGACTTCCGCCCGGAAGGCCACTGACGTGCCGCGCCGCGCCACGCCCCGCCCCCGGCCTTCCCGCGGGCGCGCGTTTGGCGCCCCGTGATGACCCCCTCAGGGAAAAGCTCTAGCGAAGGGCGAAGAAAACAGAAAAAGAAGCGGCCGGGCGCTGGAAAGGAGCCTCCTGGAGACTCACTGCGCAGGCGCACCCATGCTGATGGGAAACGATTTGGGCGTGTTGGAGTAAGGGCTCTCTGGTTCTGAGGGTTGATTTTCCGAGAAAAAAGGCGCGGGCGGGCATAGGGTGGGCGTGGTTGGACGGGTTTCCCAGGAGCTTGGGAAAGATACTGCCTCCTGCTGCGCACTCAGAGTCTTGCCGGATACTTTGCTTCTCTGTGAACACAGTAGCTGTCTGATTTATGGTGACTGCACCAAAAGATCTTAACCAAAAGATCAAAAGTAGCATCACGAATACGGGGCAATCATATACCTCCTGATGTGATGCACTTGGAAAAAGGAACATCACCTACAAGGAACAACATCTTCTTGCAAATAATATTTAACCTGAATCTAACCACGAAGAAACAATCAGATGTATTCAAAACGTAGGACAATCTATAAAACATCTGACTTGAACTCCTGCAAAATGTTAATGTTATGAAAAACAAAAAGGGCATTAGATTCTTGTGTATGGTACAATGCATACAATGTATGCATCTTATGTATTGCTTAACAGTAAAAACAGAGACGTCTGCATGTTTATCTTAAGTAGAGAGCACTAATTAAACCAAAAACTTAGAATGAGAATTAACCATCTTTGCGTAGCATTTTACGTAGAATTAACTTTCACCATCGAGGTCAACGTGTCTGAACCCTTTTCTCAAACCCATTTGTGCGTAATGCTCTTGGTCCCCAAGAGAGCAAAGTTAGATCCATGCCCTCAAGTGATTCAACATGAATTATTGACCGATGGGCAAATCTTTTGTGATAATTGAGCCCTGTCTCATAGCACAAACATGCACTGTCATCATGAATAAAACCTGCCCCCGAAGACAAATAGCTGTACTAATGGTTTAGAATCTTCTCCAGAACCAACTTTGGTTGGTTTGGGGCTTTTTTTTCTTTGTTTTAGTTTTTTTGTTTTGTTTGGTTGTTTATTTTTTTGGAGTTTGAGTATGATGCTCCTACATGTTTTGGGTTTGTTTTTCTTTTTAATGCTGGTTTAGCAGCATGAACTAACACTTGGAAATGGTAAACCAGAATTCTTCTGGGAATTATTAGAGGTATTGGAGCAAAGTTAAGAAAAAATTAAGTTAGAACATTGATGTCAGCCAGTCAATAGTGAATTTTAGCAGAGATGGCAGCATGAGGGTTTCTTAATTTACATATGGCCAGTGCTCTACAAAGCTTAGAGCAGTGGTTCTCAACTTTGGCTGCAAATTAGAATAAGCTGAGCAGTTTTTCAGTGTTCCAATGCCCCCGGGACTTATTAAATCAGAATTTCTGAGGATGGGATTCCAAAGCGAGAACAAAGTTGAGAGCAAGTGGTCTAGACAAGGCCTTGCTAAACCTTTTAGAGTCACCAGCAGGATGGCTAACCTGGATGCAAATATTCCATCTAATAATATGCATTCACATATACCTGGACACACCTCTTTCCGTGAGGAAGGAGGGCTCATTTCCCGCCTGTTCTAAAGACTTTTTAGTATTTTATAGCATTTAGTGCCGCGACTTCCTATGAATTGAACAACATCTAGGTTACCTAAAGGACTCTTATGCAAGGCCAGCACTAGCTTTATTAGAAACAATGTGAAACCACCCCCAGTGTTAAGCATCTGCCACCAACAGAAACCATAGTCTGACTGTCTCCGTGGTTTGGGTTTAGGAAATGGAGAATTATTTCGGTTTAAGCAGTTATCACTTGTTGCTTCATCATTATTACCCTCTGTGTTTCTTCCACAATAAAGACAGCTTACATTTCATTTCCCTTTATCTTTAACTACTTATTGAATAATTTCTGCCAGTGAGACAAACTTGCCCAAAGAGTCATAAATAGTTCAGGCACAGTCAGTAATTTGTTTTCTAATCACCTGCTTTAAAAGATCATCCTTGAAACACAAAAGGTGTTCAAAAGTGAGACAGGGACATGTCCCCTAATTCAGACATTACTAGCAAGGTAAATGTGCTGAAAAGTTATGTATGTGCATATAAATCTGATACTTTCCAGAGCCATATATCTTATCCTTAGATCAAAAACAAAGGTTATATCTTGACTGATCTTTATTTTCATTTCCCTCTATGAGCTTAAATAATCAATGGTGAGCTACACCTGATGACTTGCTAGGTTATAGCCATATCTCTTGAATGCACTGTTTATAAAAATTCCCATTAATATTCATTTTTTTTACATGTTGTAGTCCACCTTACATTTTTAAATTAAATTTTAAATTTTGAGATAGTTGTAAATTCACATGCAGTTATGAGAAATCATACAGAAAAATTCTGTGTATCCTTTACCCAATGTTTCCCTTTGGTAACATCTTGCAAAACTATATCACAACCAGGAGGATATTGGCATTGATACAGTCAAGATACAGGGCATTTCCATCTCTCAGAACCCCTTACATTGCCCTTACACAGCTCTATCTGCTCCCCTCCCGTTCAACCCCCTATCCCATTCTTAGCCATTGGCAACCACTAATCTGTTCTTCATTTCTGTAATTTTGTGTGCAGGTCTTTGTATGGACATGTTCCATTTCTCCTGGGTAAAGACTTAGGAGTGGAATTGCTGAGTCATGAGGTAAGTATATGTTTAACCTTAAAATAAACTACCTAAACTGTGTTTCCAAAGTGGCATTGCGATTTTACATTCCCACCAGCAATGTATGAGAGATTTAGTGGTTCTGCACCCCCAGCAGTACTGTCAGGTTTTATTTTAATTGTCGTTCTAGTGATTATGTATTGGTATCTCATTGTGAGTTTTGACTGGCACTTTCCTGATGACTAATGATGTTGAGTGTCTTTTCATGTGCTTCTTGGCTATTTGCAACTGTTTTCTCCGCGATGCATTTGTTCTTTGTTTCTCTTTGTTCTTTGTTTCTCTTTTCCTCCTTCTTTGGTTTTAATGGAGCATCTTATATGATTCCGTTTTATCTCCTCTCTTGGTATATCATTGATACTTCTTTTTTAAAAAACTTTTAGTGGTTGCCCTGAGGTTTACAATATGCATTTTACAGTAAAGTCCACCTTCGAATAACATTGTACTGCTTCACGTGTAGTGCAGGTACCTTAGAAATGAGTATTTCCAAGTCCTCCCTCCCGTTCCTGTGACACGTTGCCAGTGTCCGGGAACTGTTTGTGTGGGAACATGCCCCACCCACATAGGAAATTGGGTCTCAGAAAACTTATTACGTGGTTTCTGATGAGAAGCCCACTGTAATTCTCATCCTTATTCTTCTATATGTAAAGTTTCCCACCTGCTACCCCCCACCTCTGGCTTCCTTCAAGATTTTCACCTTGTCCTTTGGTTTTTGTTGTTGTTGTTCTTTGGTTAGTGGGTTTTAGGGTTTTTTTTCCTTTGTTTGGGGGTTTTTGTTTGGTTGGTTTTTTCTGCAGTTTGAATGTGATGGTCCCATGTGTGGGTTTTTTAATTTGTTTGTTTATTTATTTATCCTGCTTAGTGTTTTCTGAGCTTCCTGGGTCTGTGGTTTTGTGTCTGTCATATTAATGGTATATCATTTGGAAAGTTCTTGGCCACTGTTACTTCAAATATTTCTTCTGCCCTGGTTTCTCTTTCTTCTCCTACTTTGATTTTGATATTTTCCTCATACTCTTTTCCCTGACTGCAGCAGTGCCAATGTTTCCTCAAAGTCTTGTCCCCTGTTGAATATGGTTGTTTTTATTTTTCCTCAAGTGAAACAGGAAGGCTGGAGAAGGCTAAAATTCCCTTCTCCAAGTTGGGATAATATTGCAACATAGCCCTTTGACAAAGTCTTGCCGTCTGACCAAGTCTTTCCTCAGGAGAGTAAGCCTTTGTGAGAAAGAAGATTCTGGAAGTGTTTCTAAATGGTTATTCTTCCTCTTCCCCTGCCAGGGCCCCCAGGGGATCTTTCTCAGATCCTCAAAATGAGAATCTGATGGGGTTCTTGGAGAAGAAGCCCAGAGAAGTGTGGGGTCCTCCCTATGATTGCAGCAACTCCCCAGGAATTTCTAAATTTCATGCTAGTCCATACTCAGCCTTTAGCAATTCATCAAAATTACCATTTAAGTGTTCCCACCAGATTATGATTCCAGCAGCTTCTATTCCAGATAAGCAGATCTCAGCTGTGATTCTCTGTATGTGCCTGTCTCTCGGATCTGGGGATGCCAATTGGCCCTATTTTCTCAATTCTCTGATGGGTCTAAGAAAAGTCATTGATTTTCAGTTTATCCATATTTTTCTTGATGTAACAATGGTAGCAACAATGTCCATGTACTTTACATGTTAGAGCAGAAATGAGAAGTCGCTTGGCCATCTCTTGTATACATTCTTTGATGAAGTATTTATTCAAATCTTTTGCCCATTTTTTAAAAATTGAGTTATTTGTCCAATGATTAAATCACAAGAATTTGTATACGTCCTTAATAAAAAGTCCTTTATAAATATTTTTTGCTTTTTTTCTCCCAGTCTGTGGTTTATCATTTCATTTTCTTAACTATGTCTTTAAAGACCAAAAGTTTTTTTTTTGTTTCTGGTGTAATTCAATTTATCCACGTTTTCCCTTTATGGTTTATGTATTTTATGTCCTATCTAAGAAATCTCTGCTTAAACCAAGGTCACAAAGATTTTCTCCTGTTTTATTCTAGGAATTTTACAGTTTCAGGTCTTACATTGAAGTCTTTAATCCATTTTGAGTTGCTCTCATACGTTGCTGGAGGGAATGTAAAATAGCACAGCCACTTTTACATCCAGGTCTATGATCCATTTCATGGTTAATTTTTGTATATGGTATGAGATAAG